GGTGGGCCTTCCAGTTGAGTTTCCAGTCCAGCCAGACCCCTAGGAATCTGGCCGATGCCATCGGCTTCACCGGGCTGGTGCCTCCTCCCGGCTGCGCAAGTTCCAGCTGGTCAGTCCACTGTTTGCGCCCTCTGTTGAAGTGAATCAGCTCGCTCTTTTCGGGGCTAAAGGACATTCCCCGGGTTTCTGCCCACTGCAGGCACGTCTCCCACGCTGCCTCCAGCTATCGAACGTTAGCCTCCGGCTCCCGACCAAAGACCAAGAGGTTGGTATCGTCCGCAAACCCCGCTATCGCCAGATGGGGGTGTTCCTCTTTCAGCTGCTTGTACAGGGAGGCGATGTAGAGAATGAAGAGGACTGGGGATAGAGGAGAGCCCTGGGGGACCCCCGCTCGTATCGCCGTCGGTCGAGCTGCTTGACCGTCGAAGTGAAGGGTGGCCTCCCGGTCGGTCAGCCAGTTCTTCGTCCATAGGACGAGCCACCTCGGGAAACGCATTTCTCGAAGGGTAGCTAGTAGTCGGACGTGGTTGACCGTGTCAAAGGCGCCTGAGATGTCCAGCTGGAGGAGCGGCGCTGTGGCTTTCTGTCTCCAGGCTTCTTGTGCCTGCGCTACTACCAGTCGGATTGCCAGCTCTGTCGACCGGTGCGCCCTGTTGCCCATCTGCTCATCTGGGAGTAAGCTGTTGATTTCCGCGGCTTGAGTGACCTTCCTGGGGGAAGATGAATTGTATACTATGAGATTCAAAGAAATGACCTGAGTAGAGACACTCAGCAGAGTCGAAAATAGATGACACGAATGGATCCCTAGTAATTGTGAAGCGAAGCTTCTTGTGTGTCGGATTCCCCAGGCTACTATCTAGAACTGACTTTACAGCTACCAAACCCAGTCGGTCTGGAGACTGTGCCTCTATCTGATATTTATTGTTGTCTCATCCAGGAAGACAATCTCATTCGGCTTGTTGGTCCACGCACTTCGCTGACGTTCATTGCCGAACTCGGGAGACGCGGCAATCGCAAACACCCCGAGACCGAACGTTATTGATAATTGTTGGTCGATATGTCTCAAATCTGCTCCATTGCCATTCAAGAGGAACTCGAGGTTGTGTCGGACGCAGGGCAGAAGCGTTCGTGGTGCAATGAGGTTTGTGTTAGCGTCAGGCCGCAGGACGCTGGACTTGGTGGTGTGCTTGCATGCACCATCTGGCAACCCCGGTTGCAACGCAGAGGGTCGGGTGACAGTCATAACAGCTGTGCCGCTTGCACCAGCCTCGGACATGACCAAGGAGGAGTCGCTGCCCGCCCACCAACCCGAGAGAGATGAAGTCCCATGGTTCAAAAGAACTTCCATCCCGCCACAGGGCTTTTCGAAGATGGAAAAGCCGCCATGCTGAGCCGAAATGGAGAAACCGGCATCGATGCACTCCAAAGACCGGAGACCGCTCGCCGCCAACCCCGCCGGACGCCATACTAGCCTATGGATCCGGAAATGCCACCCAGTCCATTTCCTCGTCGGCGACACCAGGGCGGTCTCAAGTAGCAGCTCGACATGCCGCCACGGCCTCCACTTGCTCACCAGCGCCGGCAACTGCTCCTCACCGAAGCGGAAGGTCTCGAATCGGACGTCGTACGGTTCCCAGGCCACTGTCCACGACTCGCCGCCGTCGCGGCTCAGACACAGCGTGCTGTCAGGGGCGAGCTGTCCCAACAGCGGGCCGCTGGGTACGCTGAAGGCAAAGGCGGACGAGTAGGCGAACTTGCCGTACTTGGCCTCGCGCGCCTTGTGGTCTTTCCTGGTGCATTGTCCGGCCGACAAGAGGAAGTGGTGTTCTGGTAGGTTACAGAGGATGTGATAGGGCGGCAGCAGCGGCGCTACCACGGGGAGATTGAGTATCCGCTCCGGGTAGTCGCACGAGAGGGGATGTGGCCGTTCTGGTGCGGTCCAGAATGGATGGTCGTCGGGCAGATGAAGCACGATGAAGCTTTTCAGGCACCAGTAGACGGACTGGGGAGAGGTGTAATTTTCGGACAGGTACATATTTGGGTACGTGTAGCCGATGTTGTGCGTGCCGTCGGTGTTGAAAATGTGCGGCTGCTTTGCCCACCAGCGGAGGTGCCGCAGCAGCAGGCCCTTGATGGCGCCGTGGTGGTCGAGGGGCGGTGGTAACGGCACGTTGGCGAACACAACAGCCGCCCAAAAGGCGGCAAACGCGTATCGATATGTGAGGCTGCGGCCGAATGGGATTGCGGCACCTGTCAGCGCGGTCAGAGAAAATCAGGCCAGGAGCCATGCCCGATTCAAGCTAAACTTCCTACCATTCGTGTCAAAGTATCTCCAGAAGCCGCTAGCAAAGAAGCCGGCTTGTCGCCGGTATCGCTCTGCCCTACCATCATCGAACCCGCCCGACAGCGCGATATATAGAATCTGGGCAAACTGAAGGGCAAAGCTTCCAGAGTAGTAGTCCGCCTGCTTCCGTTCGTCCCCCCAAAGTCCATCGCTAGACCAGCCGTCTCTGAGGTAGAACGTGTCTAAGAGCGCCAAGTCCCTCTCTATCAGGTCGCGTACCTCTTCCATAGGCACCCCGAGTGCCTTCACCAGCGCGAGGTTCACAAACACACGGAACCAGCGCCAGTTATTCTCGGGCATACGCCGGCCGTTGATCTGTCGCAGCCAGATCGCGAGCCTGTCCCTTGCTCGAGAGTCACGCGGGACAAAGTGATCTGGCGCCACCAGCAGTGCGAAGGCGATGGACTCCATCTCGACCATGCGCTGGTCAAAATCACTGACGTCGCCCCAATACTCGGAGGAGGCCGGGTCGGTGCCCGCCGAAAGCCCATTCAGCCATGCCGTAAGATGGACTTCCTCGGATCTGGCATCCACATCCGCATCCGTGCTTGTGCTTGTCCCGGACCGCAGAAGAAGACAGCTGGGGACGACCCAGAGAGGGCGGGCGAAACCTTCCAACTGGGCAGCAGTTTCGCTGAAGCCGGCGCCAGTGGCGGCTGCTATTTTGATGCGCGCCTTGCCGGGGGACTGGTACTGCGAGAGAGGCGTAATCAGCGCCTTCGCGGCGCGAATGAAATCAGAGCGGGTTTGGAAGCGGTTATCTGAGAAGCCTGGAAGCGGTGGCATAATGCGGAATGACGAGTACAGCGGAAATGGGGGCGGTCTGTCCAGGGGCCGAGGGACGAGGATGTGTTCAAGATGTCGGCTTAGCGACAAGGAGCCTGAGGGGAGATGAAGTGTTCACTGCAGTTCCCGTAACTTCGACACGGGACTTGACAGGGACAAGAACAGTCCAGCATGTGCGGGGGAAAAAAATACCATCCTCGATCAAGAGCGAAGCATCGTGATAAGTGATTTTTATGGCTCAGCTTCGCCCGCTACTAACCCAACCCAAACGTGTTTTTTTGGTTCACACCGGAGTAACGTTTGTTGGTGGATGACAGGACGTTCCACGTCAGCAAGGGAATACGGATACCATCTGGTCTCGCTCGATCTGGACACCTCCACCGGGCGGCCCACACGTTCATTCGCCGACAAGTAAACTGTACATACAGTACTGTAGTACTCCGCAGCATTCTCGACTTTTGTGTATCCGTAGGGGCGGCCCACAGCAAACTCGGCCCCTTGCACACCCCACTCTTTCATCCCAGTCAGTTATCGAAATTTCCATCTTTGTCCACGGCCTCAGCAAGAACCACATCAAGCGATCCATGTCCGTGTTCAGCTTTGTAGGCCGCCTCGTGAACGCTACAATCAGTCTACTGACCAGAAACTGAGTATATCGCCCCGCATCTCCCCGCATGATCGGATGAGTGCGATCCGAAGAAACGATGGGGCGAGCGAGCTAGAGACAATTGTCGCCGGAACCGTTAGGTTAGCTTCAGGTTAGCTGCGGGGAAGCCAGGATAAGCCGATCGACATCTCGGTCTCTCGGCGCAATTATGGCGGACAACCGGGCGATTGTCTCTTTATCAGTCCTGGGTTCGCTCGCCAGGTCCACAGCTTGAGAACCACCGAGGGGTTAGCACGAGACACACTGCGGTTGGACCACCATGTCGGCCAAGAGCACTTCGCAGCAGCGTCCTCAATCCTCCGAAGGGGATTCTCCGGCACCCCGGGGCCAACTGGAGTCCGCTGAACCGACCTCACTCGCCTGCAATCCGTGTCGAAAGCGCAAGCTCCGGTGTTCCCGTGAGCTGCCTGCATGCCAACACTGCCGGAAGACAGGTATCGTGCCGCCGGGCCCAACGGGCCACTCTTTTACACCGCACAGGATAGCCTGGCTGACCCTCAATGTTAGCAACCGAGTGTGTCTATGAGGCGAAGCGCAACAAGCCCGGTCTCAAGCCCGGTGCCCTCGATAATGTGCACAGGAGACTAGGTGAGGAGGCCGGCTCTGCAATGCTAGACCAACGCGACACTGATCCGTCGCTTTGCTTGTCCTAAGATGCCCTCGAGCACACTGTGCAGCGCCTCGGCGAGGGAAAAGACTCATGTAGCCGAGATGATAGCCACGAAGGAAGCGCGTACAGGATTCTAGCCCTGCTGGCACAAGAGCTTCCAAACTTCATCCGGGACAGCAGCACAACAGCGAGTGCTCATTCCGTTCCTGCCGCCCATAAACGTCGGCGCATCGGAGGCGGCGAACCCATCACCACAGCCAGCAATGCTTGCAAGGAGGATGCGCCCAGGCCGCCCAGCCTGCCACCTGCACATGCTCTTGACTTGATACTAGAAGCCTATTTCGAGTGCATCCACCCGTGGATCCCAATGATTCACCAGTCACGGTTTCGTAGGCGACTTGACGACCCCCGAGAGCGGCCGAAACTGGGCGTCGTACTGTATGCCATCAGCCTGACGGCTGCGAGGTTTGTCGCCAGCCAACATGTCGCCATTCCTCAGCCGGCTGAACTACGGCGCTGGGTCGTTTCTGCCGCCATGGACCGCATGTCCGTGGAGAGTCTCCAAGCCCTGATCATCCTCGCCTTCAACGATGTAAGCATACCCCTTGGCCGTCAGCTCGTTTGACTCGCGTTTGCACGAACTCTCATCTCCTAACATGTCATACAGATTGGAAGTGGAATAGCATCCAAGGCTTGGTCCCTTATCGGATCCATGACCCGCACCGTCGAGTATCTTCAGCTCACCATCGAGCACGAGGAGACGAAGCGGGAGCCTCTGTCGCATCCGTTTGCCTCCTTAACTCCGACGGGCGACTGGACCGAGAACGAGGAGCGCCGCCGCGTATTTTGGAACGTCTTCCTCCTGGACCGGTTTTGCTCTGTCGCCATGGGCTGGCACACTAGCCTGACGTCCGACGACGTCCACCGCCGTCTGCCCTGCGACGGCATCCTGTGGCGCAAGCAGGACCCCGTCATGACGCCCTTCTTTGGTATCTGGGACAAAGCCGCCGCCCGCCTCGGCAAACCCATCGCTTTTCTTCCCTCGGAGCCCAGCGCCGTCAACACCGCCGGACCTGCCGAAGTCGTGGGCGGGCCAAGGAGCCCGCTCAATCATGCAACCGCCCATTCACCGTCTTCACAGGACACGCTTGGCACTGACATAACAACCATGGGCGCCTACGCATACTGCATTGAGGCGACCGAATCCCTCAGTCGCGTTACGAGCCATTTCCTCCAGCAGCGCATCGACTGGCGCGACGGACACGACGTGGGTCTGTGGCTCACGCGTTTCAAGGAGCTGGACCTCCGGCTTGTACATTGGAAGATGTTCCTGCCGCACAAGTGGAAGGCCGAGCACTATCTGCGAGCCACTGTCGGCAACCTGGGACCAGGAAGCACCGCGTTGGTCATGGACCCAAACCTGACGCTCGCGCACGTCACCCACAACACGAGCATGATCCTGCTCCACCAGCCCATCGCCTTTCCGCCGGCTGCTCTGCTCCCCTACCAAACCCGGCTGCCGAGCGCCTGCAGTGTCGAGACCTGCCTGGCTGCTGCGACCGAAATCGCCACCATTACGACCAAGTACCTCGAGAGCACTGCGTCAGGACTGCCCGTGGCACACCAGTTTGCCTTCTGCGTCTACATCGCGGCACGGGTGCTGCTTGTAGACTGGCAGCATGGATACATGCAGACACAACTGTCGGATCATTTCTGGACGCTGGTGCGAGCGCTCGACGAGTTCTCCGCCCGATGGCGTGGCAGTGGCGGCGGCACTCCTAGCACCGGCAGCATGGACATCGCCGTAGAACCGGCATTGTGCCCAAACCACGCGGCAAAATACGCCCAGAAACTTAGACACTTCCACGCTGAGTGTCTGCAGAACCCTGAGTTCAAGGTTAATGTCGCCGGATACACGGCCGAGATCAACCATTCGGCGACATCGCCGGTGACGACAGGCGCGCAAGCAGTTGCTGAACGCGACGACCCTTACCAAATCCAGGTAGGACGCGACCGATTACCGGTGAACTGGGGCATTTACGGGCCCTCTCAAATTCCCGGTCCGCCCCTTATGCGCGACCAGCAGGGCGGGGGCGCTCCTTTTGCGTCAGCCAACGCACCTTCGAGCGGTCAAGGGGGCAATATGCTGCCAGAGATTCCCAACCTTGCCCCTGACAACAGCCTTGGTTCCATCTCGCAAGCACTGTTGGATCAGCAGTTTGGCGAAATGGACCGTATCATCAGCTACGAGGATGGCAGCATGTTTGTCGGGACCATGGACGCCTGCGGAGGTTGGTGAGAACAGGGAAAGATGCCTTATGAGGATGAAAACATGCAGCTCTACCAAGTATATCTACCTCTTTCCAGGCAGTCAGGCACTACATCCCCCAATCCCGACTCCCGTTTCTACCTTACTATGCAAGACCCATCCGCAACAGCCGATTCCCAAACTCAACCAGATAGTAATCACCATACACCAACCCATGGTTAGCATACCGCTTTCTCGCATGCATGTTATTATTAGCCGTCCCAAATTTGAGCAGCGCGTCGAACCGCCTCCCCTCTACAACATCCTCGGCCACAAGCTCATCACCGCCATCGCCACCAGCACCAGCACCAGCACCTCGAAACCGCACCTTTTCGCTAGCCAGCGCAAACTCCAGCGTGTCGCGGACAATGGCAACAGCCGCGTCCCGGAACCGCGTCGCCAAGTCGCCCTCACCTGCACCAGCCAGCGCCTGAGACAGCACAAGCATACCGTTGGCCGCGATAACACCCGCCGACGAGTCGCGCGTGGGGTTCAGGTTGCTCTCGTCCGAGTCTTGTATGATCGGCGCGTCAAAGTCCCAGGGAGGGACATACCGTCCCATCGTCTTTGTCTTCCCGAGGGACTCGTCCTCCCCCTGTGGTGGAACGGAAACCTGCACCTTTACACACCCCGGCGCCGTCTCGAGCCGCTGGAGAAAGTACTCTGCGCAGCCGCACGCCGCCCACAGGAACGCCGCGTCCCTGGTGTACATGTAGGTCTGCGCGTAGCCGAGGATCGCCCACGCCTGGCCGCGCGCCCAGGTCGATGTGTCGGCGTGGCCTTGAGCCGTGTGCCGGGATTTGAGCGCGCCGGTGCGAGGGTCCAGGTTGGCTACGTGGCAGGTTGAGTAGAGCTGGCCTGTGTATCCCGTGCGGATAATCTTCATCTTGGGCGTTGTTGTTATTGTTGTTGTGGGTGCCGGCCGGAGGTGGGTAGCCAGCAGGGTGCGCGCGTGGGCGGTGGCTATTTCGGCGAGCCGGCAGCGCTCGCCTGACTCTGAGTGGGAGGCGGCGTAGTAGAGGAGGTCCAGGTTGCACATGCTGTCGATGATGACAAGAAGGTTGTCGTCGGTCCCGAGGATTTCCATGTCCCTGCGTCGCACCAGGTCCCAGCTTCGAATGGCGCGGGCCGAGGGTACGTAACGGCTTGCTAGGCTGTGTGCGGCGCGCACGATGGAGGCCAAGCTGCGCTCGTTGGAGGTCAGCTCCCAGTCCAGCCGCAGCGCGGGCATGATGATGAAGCCGAGGTCGTGCGTGTCGGTCCGGGAGGACATGGCGTGCAGGGGCTCGGACCATGCGCGGCAGTGGGAGAGCAGGTGGTTGCGGATCTGGCGAGGGCTGGGCGACGATGCGGTTGTTGGGGAGGTGAGAGAGTGGGGGAAACGGGTGACACGTTCCAGCAGGGCGTACAGTGTGCCTGGGAAGAAGCCGCAGGTCCAGAATTCGGGCTCGCGGAGGACATACCGGCCGCTGTCGCTGCCCATCTGCGGACAGTACTCTGGGAAGACGGCATCGTCGGTACCATGGGAAGCAGCCGGCTCGATACCTCGACGCAGCGCGTCCACGGCAACCCTGCATGGTTTGGCGAAGATGTTTTCTGCGAATGCTTCGCGTAGTTCGTTGCGGATGTCTGATTGCAAGTGCAGGCTGCTCTGCTTACTGGAGCCATGAGCCGCATCGAAATCGTTTATGTCTGCCGTAGAGGCGTTGGTTGATAAGGAGCTGAGGTTGCCGTCCGAAAGGGCGCTATCACGACACTCAGTCAGGGAGTCCGACGTCGAGAGTTCTGGCGAAGTGCCAGGTGTTGGTGGTTTGGTTGCCATCCAACGCAGAGTCTCTCCGGTGAGGTCTCGAGCCTTTTCAGCCATATCGAACGTCACCTCCTCGTTCACAGCTTGGGGGATTGGTGTGTACAAGGAGCAAGGAACTGTTCAAGGCTTACCGGTGAAGTCGCCGATGAACAAACAATGCCTCTCGGCGCTTGCCAATGCGGACAGGCCGGATCAAATGTCAAAGGTTGAGTCCGTACATGTAGTAAAGCGAGGTAAACGGTATTCATTCGAGCCTGGGTCGACTCGGCGGTCTGTCCCCGGATTGAACCTCGCCGGGAACCGGGGCTGCAGGGGGCGCCGCACATAATGCTTGTTTCTCTACTCCTCCGTTTCTCCGAAATGGCTGGGGCAAGCAAAGTTAGTTAGCAAGACCAGCACATTCTCCGCCATTGAGAGAATTGTTCGGGTGGTGGTGCAAGGAAGGTCGGACCAGGACTTGCTCCGGTGTCCGCCCCTTTTCCTCCGGACCAACCACCGCCTGACCACCGCTGTCACCCACTCTGGCGGTGGAGCATTTGCGGGGGTTAGCGTTTTGCGGAGAAGCAAGCGAGGCAAGCACACCGGAACCACGCTACTGGGACTAAGAGGGACTAACCCCAGGTTCTCGAAGAGGTTTCCTTGACTAGCTATTAAAGATGAGATGGTAGACGAACTTTCCGCCATCTGACTATCACTTCGACCAGGCTCAGGGTACCTCTATCCATCCTCCCTGAAGTCGACAGCAACCACACGGCAGGGACGGGACAGTGACACCCAAAACACGACATGGCCAACACGCCGGGTGAGGCCCGTCCGGCGGAACAGACCGTCGATGATGAGCCCATCGTGGTGAGCTCGTCCACCGAAAAGCCGACCCGCTCCCTCTGGCTGGCCTGGCTGTACATCTTCGACTGGTATCCCAGCCACTACTCGACCGAGGAGAAGCGTCTTCTTCGCAAGCAAGACAGTGTCATTCTGACTCTATGTTGCTTGATGTGTAAGTTATTCCTCATATATGTAGAACTTGATCCTGCTGGGCGCGGTCGCCCCCCATCACAAGACATGCCCTGACGACTGCTCTGTACCTTAGTCTTTTTGAAATGGCTGGACCAATCCAACATCAACACAGCCTACGTATCCGGTATGGAGGAGGAACTGAACATCAGGGGCAACGAGTACTCGCTCTTTGGCACTTTCTACAACATCGGCTACCTGATCTTTGAAATCCCCTCCATGATGATCGTCTCGCGGCCCAAGCTGACGCGCTGGTACCTCCCGACCATGGAGACGGCCTGGTCGGTTCTTACGTTCGCCCAGTGCCGGCTGTCGAGCGTGCCCCAGATCTACGGCCTCCGGTTCCTGCTCGGCGTGCTCGAGACGCCTGCCGCCACGGGCTCTATCTACATCCTTACCAGCTGGTACCGCGCCGACGAGCTCTTCAAGCGTGCCGGCGTCTGGTACATCTCGTCCAACGCCGGCGCCATGTTCGGCGCCTATCTGCAGGCGGCCGCCCACAGGAACCTCAACGGCGTCGGCGGCATGTCGGGCTGGCGCTGGTTGTTTATTATCGACGGTGTCATCTCCCTACCTATCTCCCTCGCCGGCTACTTCTTCTTCCCGGGCCTACCTTCCAGCCCGCGCATCTGGTGGCTCACGGAGCGGGAGCAGAAGCTCGCCCAGGCACGCATGCGCGCCGACGGCGTCAAGGAGAGCGCTAAAATCGGCAAGCGCATGCTGAGACGCGTGTTTACCCACTGGCACTTTTACATTGCCGTGCTTACCTATATCTTGTGAGTGAAAGAACAATCAATCTCCATGCCTTTTCCAATTCCATCTTGCTCACCCGGGCCCGGCGTCCAGGTTTCAGTGCACGACCTATGTCGCCGGTCAAATGACGCTGTGGCTAAAGGCCGAGGGCTACTCGGTCGAGGATATCAACATCTACTCGACTGGAGTCCAGGGCACAGCCATCGCCATCGGCATCATTGCCACGAACCTCGTCATGGTCTACCCCATCTGGGTCATCTTCTCCCTCATTGCGGGCACGCTGCTCTTCTGCAATGTTTGCCTCCTCATCTGGAACATCCCGCTCGGGCTACACTGTAAGCTGCCACTCGATCAGATTCGAGAAATGGCACTGGGCAACCTGGAGTGGTACATGAGGTACTGACCTTTAACAGTCGCCGTTTACTACCTGCTCGGGTGCACATCTGCCGTCACGCCAATCCTATTCCCATGGGTCAATGTTATCATGAAGGATGACAGCGAGGCCAGGGCTTTCACTACGGGCGCTATGGTGAGTTGCCTCAATCATCCATTCATTCCCAACCTAGCAGCTGACGTCCCTTTCTGCTTCAAGATGACCTTTGGCTGGGTCTTCTTCTCGTTTTATCCCATCACCGTGTTCCCCAGACTTGAAGGTAAGCTTGTTCCAAACATACCCTCCCCTCCCTTTCGCCTCCCTGAAAGAGCCCTCTGGCTGACGCATCAAACCCACCATTTCTACAGCACCGCAATGGCGCAAGGGCTACACAGTCAATACCGTCTTCACATGTTGCTACTGGACTCTCTTTATTATTGGACAGCTACTCTGGATGCGTGACCGGAAGAAGAACAAGTATGTTGTCGAGGGCAGCGACGAAGCAGAGAAGCTGCGGCTCGAGGAGAAGGTGCGGAGTGCTGCCGCCCAACACGTAGAGGACGCTCCTGTGAGTATCGACAGGAACTGAATCATGATCATGATGGACGGACTGGCCTAAAGTTCCGGTGGGGTGGCTGGATGTAGCATCAGGGACTTGGGGAGGACGAATATGGCGACTTCAAATATCATGTTTTGTCGGCAACTGTACCTTAATCGCCTTGCTACGTTTTTGCCTTTATAATTCAAGACTCAGTACAATCCAACCGTTCTCTCCTGTTAACAGCACTAGGTTCACCTATATATGAGTATTATTATTATTCCTACACAGTTATGCCCTTGGGCTTGCCAGTCCTGCTATCTACCTTGCTGTATAGGAAAACCGTACCCTTGCTAGCCGGGTGAAAACCCTATATCTCCTTGAAGGCCCCTCAAGTAGGAGTTCATCGCACTACGGCGGAAAAGAGGTTAGATTGTGCTACCCCTTGTTGAACTGAGTGGGTTCCTTGGCACCAAGATTCACGGACTGAGCACTGATGTGCAATGCGAGACTCTCAGTCAACACAGATCCATCACAATGACGCAGTTCCCGACATAAACGTCATATCATGGCACACTGTCTCTATATAAGGGGGTAATTCCCCTGGGAGGATTAGAGAGGACAATTTTTTCCAAAAAAAAAAATAAAGGGACATTCTGAGGCACCCTAACCCACTATCTTTGATCCTTCATTTGTGAGGTCACTCTGGAATCGTGACTCCAATTCAAGCTTCATTTCATACCTCAATCTATTCAATACCACTTGGTTGATCTAAGCTTACTCGAGCATGTAACTGTTGGCTGCCCAACACCCCTCTGCATACCTCCCTCCACCTACAGTAGCTATCCCGGCTAGGCTCTGCAATCCTCCGAGGCAGAGAAAGCTTCAACTGCTTAGGATCCCTCGTTACTTGCTGCTGTGTGGCTACCATCGAGGGAACTGTTGGGCAGCCAACAGTTACATGCTCGAGTAAGCTTAGATCAACCAAGTGGTATTGAATAGATTGAGGTACGAAATGAAGCTTGAATTGGAGTCACGATTCCAGAGTGACCACACAAATGAAGGATCAAAGATAGTGGGTTAGGGTGCCTCAGAATGTCCCTTTCTTTTTTTTTTGGAAAAAATTGTCCTCTCTAATCCTCCCAGGGTAATTACCCCCTTATATAGAGACAGTGTGCCATGATATGACGTTATGTCAGGAACTGCGTCATTGTGATGGATCTGTGTTTACTGAGAGTTTCGCATTGAACATCAGTGCTCAGTCCGTGAATCTTGGTGCCAAGGAACCCACTCAGTTCAACAGGAACCTCCCTTCGGGGCCGCTTTCTCTCTACTTCCTGTAATCCCTCCTGCTCCTCCCTAGGCCTCTAGGCTTCCTGCTCTCCCTGGATCTCCTGGGAGAAAAGGAAGGTCATTTTCTGGGCCTGTTGTCACGGTTAGTGACAGTGTGAGGTTCATGCGCGCAACTCCTGGTTCGACTGGACAGTTCGAACCACGGTCCCTCTTTTGAGGGTGTTACGCAGTGGTCAGTTGCGCCCACCCGTGACACCTGTTACTGTTGTTGTTGCTGCTGGATTTCGAAGGTCCGCGGTCGAAACTGGTAGGCTTCTTTAGCCACTGCCCGGGCCCGTACCGCCTCCGGGCACCAACGGACCCAGGCTGGGTGCCGTCCTCCATATGCCGCACAGCGGAGGGGTATGCTGCTGGCGTTCTCCTGGTTGTGGTTAGGGTATTTGAGCCTCTCCTGCCCTCCCCCCTTCTCTGTAGGCTCCCGTCCTTCACCGGGAGCAAGGACGGGAGTTCCTAAAGAACGTTGGGTATACCTCAATTTCCAGCACTTATAGCACTGGGCCGGCTGAAGCGCCTCCCAATACGACTTGCAGTGCAATAACTGAACCGGCCAGATCACCCCTTGCTCGCAGGCCTTCTTTGCTTCTTCCTGGCTAGTCAAAGTGACTAGAACCATTACCCTTGTAACGCCTTCTAATGTTGGGATTCGGAACTTTACCCTTTCGGCCGACTGAAGCGCAAGTTCCTATCGGAATTCCTCTTCCGTGACCCCGGATAGCTCCCTTTTAAGGACTCCCTTGACTAGGACCGCATAGGTCCTCTTCGCTTCCCACGCCGCTTCGTCAAAGGCCTTCGTTATCCAGCCCTGATTATCCGTGTGCCACTCCTCGCCCCCGAATCTTCGAGGTAACGATGATATCCCGTTTAGTAGCTTTTGAGCCGCTACCGCGCTTTTCTTCTCCGAATAGCTGTTCACTCCTTGGACGATCTCCTGCGGGGTCCTCACCGTGAAAGTCGGTTCGATCGAGCCTCTAATCAAGATCTTTCTCGCCAGCCGACCTGGTATAACCTTCCTTGGTGTCTCGGGTGCCTCTCCTGCTCCTGCTGCGACCGCCACCGGCTAGACCTCGGGCCTCTTGGATCTAACATTTCTTGACTTGACCAGCCTCGAAGGGCTCCACTAGAACTAGCCTCGGTATATTCTGGTCTTCACAGCTATATGGAAGAGCGGCGCTATCGATCCTGTCCAGTCACCTCGTCGAGGCATGAGAATCAGGAGAACAACATTGGAGCGAATCCCGGAGCTCTAAGCAGGAGTCTTATCTCGCCCTAAGAGGACTGCCGCCGGTGGTTATAGAGGAGACGACGTGGGTGAGGACTGAGATATACAGCATGACGGCTATCCTGCAGTGGCGGTTTGAGACGGGCGAACGAAGGATGTATATTGGTAAGCCGGACTCGTTTGTTCTGCAAAGGGGTGGAATAGATTGGATGCTGAGGAGGAACTGGTCAGGAACACTATCTAAACCCCGGTCTTGGTCGATGTCGGGGCAACACCGAATTACTTACCTAAGGGTGAGAGTCCATTAAGGAAGAATTGGTGATTACCTTAAGGTACTGACACACCAAGGCCCAGACTTGGTCACCCAACTCTCCGCCCCTCTGATCCGCCGGCCAAGTACTTGAACAAATGCGGGCTCTTCTACGCCGGCTGCAACGCTACAGTACCCATGTTTGGTGTCCGGCTCGGAATTCCACCTTTTACATCGCTCCGGAAGACTTGTTGCTGCAAGAGGGGCGCGATATCCAACAGGCGAGTCGTGCCGGATTGGGGTGACGGACACGGACACGCCGCCACACGTGCTGGGGGTCAGTTTCTTGACTAATGTCGTGGCTGTGTTTTGACGTTGGAAAATTGGAAATGAAGTTTGCGGCGATAAAGAGGTAATTCTTGAGGTCCATGGCCTTTGCTCAAGTTCAGTCAGGGTTCAACACGCCAGGTGTGGAAGGAGATCAATGGATATTAGCAGGCAGACTCCATGGATGCCTTGGACAAAAGATCGTTGGCTATTACCAGACAGGGCAAGGAAGCTCAAATAAGGTACTGCACCCCAGCTAAAAAGGCCGGGGACGTTGTTATTGTCAGTTTCAGACCCGAGCATGCCATCACCGACGGTCACGCCAATGACTTGGAAGTGCCGGCCTGCGTCCCAAATGGCTACAGTACCTACAGTACTTGAGTACGCGTTGGGTACTAGCTTACGAGAGCATGATGAGCCAATTAAAGTGCAACAGGCTTTGAATAAGCTTTAGAACCCCTCTCCCTCGGGCGTTACATGTCTTTGACTCTGCTCGAGCTGCTCACCAGACATCAGTCCGTCGTCAATGGTATCAGCCGTACATGCAACGGCCCTTTCAACCATAAGCCGAAGGCCGGGCAGTCAAGAAAGCGGTCAGCAGCCTCATCCGCCAGGACCAAGTCGTAATTCCAGATCAGTCTGGCCAAGATCAAGCGCATCTCCATGTAGGCCAGGCTTGGGATCGCACGATAACAGTCAGCATCAAGACATGGCATGGGCTGGAACGTCTAGCTTACTTCTTCCCAACACAGTTGCGTGACCCAACCGAGAAGGGCTGAAAGGCGCCGTGTCTCTCCCTGTCGAATCGTATCCCCGTGTACTCGGCTTCGGGGAGCCAGCGTTCGGGGATGAACTTGTCGGGTTCTGTAAAGTTCCTCCGGGAACGATTCATGGCCAGAGGCCAGACTTCGAGGCCAGTCTGCCGGCCGTGTCAGCTGCAGAGAATCTTCCATCCCAATTCAGAAGGCGGAAATTTGAAGACTTGCGCCTGCAGGTACTTGGATTCCGCAGATGACGTCTCCTCCTGCGTGACATGTCCTTGGCAGGTGGCCGGGCACGGTCGGGAACACCCTCATGGCCTCATCCAGCACCGCCATCATGTATTGCAGCTTATTGACCGAGAACAAGTCAATCTCGCCCTCGGACGTAAAACTTGACCGCACCTCGTCGGCCAACTTCTTCTGTACCTCGGGATACTTTGAAAGGAAGTAAGCGGCCGATGCCAGCGCGGTGGCCGTTGTTTCGCTGCCGGCAAAAACTAGCAGTCTCGCGTTGACAGCCATTTCATGTCTGGTCAGCATCCGCCCGTCTTCCGAATTTGCGGTCACCATGGCCTCGACAAAGTCAGGCCGGCCGGTCTCGAGCTGCAGCCGTCTCGCGATCCGCTCGTTGGCAAACTCCGTCTGCTTATCCATGGCGACGAAGGCTGTCGGCAAAACCTTGCGTGCGAAGTTGACTGCTCCTGGCAGATATAACTCTACCGCGAGCATGATACCGAGTTGCTTCACTCCGCGGAAGATGGCACTCACCCAGGGGTGATACCTGGACTCCTCTAGACACCCAAACGGCTCGCCAAACGCGAGATCGCCAATGATGTCAAAGGTGGTAAAGTTGAACCACGCGGCGAGGTCAACGACGGCCTCCTTCCTCTTGCCATCTCCGTCCTGCGTCGTCGTCGTTCTCTCCCTCAGCCGCTGCATCAACAAGTCGACATGTTTTGTGATGAGTGGCTGCTGCGCCTGCATGCTCTTGGCCGAGAAGCAGTGCGACAGGATCCGGCGGAATCGGGCATGGTCCTCGCGCGATGCGCCTAGAATGTTCTGTCGCGAGATGACCTAAAGCATGCTCTTGTAAGTTTGGGTACCTTTATGAGGTAGATTGGGCCAAACCTCTGACTCACGTAAAAGGCCCTATCTTTTCCGTGCTCTTCTTGAGTGCACTTGCGGTGGCCACGGATGTTTTGATATGCGTCCGGGTGGGTGAAGGACAACCGGTTCGGCGCTACGCGGACGACGTCGCCGTATTGCTCATGGAAGGCGTGAATGGTGGAGGAGGCGTGGCCTGAGAGCCAGGCGAGGATGTAGGGGATTTGAGAGACTGCCCACAGCTTGGGGCCTGGGACGGCTCGGAGGGGAGGAAGAGGTTGTAGAACGTGTAGGTGGCGGCGAGGAGAACCGTCTGGAGATACCGTCAGCCAAGTGCTGGTAGAACGGGATCCTAAGTACTCGGGCCACACGCGGGGCAAATACCGAGCTGATGGCCATCAACAACCAGCTGTAGTGGCCGGAGGGACCCATGACTGTCGGCGTGGTGATATCAGAAATTACCATGTTCTTGTGAGTGAGCCTGGACTTGGGACGGACAGCTCATGGAAGTGCAGACAGGAGAGAGCGTTGTGGGGAGCATGACGGGCGTATGGGCACTTCAAATATACGAGCTGCCTGCAGCTAGGTACTGTAAGAAATTTCAACCTTTCAGAAGTAAGGTTCCAGTCGCCAATGCAACCACACCGGTCAAGTTACACAAGAGGCATGGGAGTGACTCTCGATTGAGACCGAAACGGTTCAATACGACATTGTGAACCCACTAACCGGGGCGTAAAATCCGCGAGCCCGAAGCTGGGCGGCAGGGGAAGTCAATGAGCTCACCAGTGCTCAACAGTATTCGGTCCCAGCCGGATTCCTTTGCTGGACCTGCAACGCGGCGAGTCCGAGCCCTCGGATACCCACCTCCCTGCCCCGTACTCCAAAGGCGTCAAGAATTTCGAATCATATTACTGCTCCTGGTTGAGTCCAGTTATGCAGACCGGCGAGACATCGAAGCCACTTGCTTTGCTCACTAACTACCTCTAATCTTATGGCTCGTGTTAGTGGTGACATTTGATCTCGATAGCTCCAGTCATCATCCCTTTCTCGAGTCATTGCCCCTGAGCTGGACCGACTATTCAGTTTCCCAAGGTTAGGCGGCCACATTATATGCGGGCAACCTCCTCGTGCACAACGTCGGCCGATTCCTTCTCATCGGAACCGCAGGCTAAACCAGCAGCTCCGCCTGCGTGACCCACACAGACATATTTGCGGAACTTCCTTGCCGGAAGCCGGGCCTCAAACTGCATCTTGTGTTAGATACAGCTCTGTATAGCAGCAGGTTTGGTCATCGTCATACCATCTCATCGATTTCCTCGAGCGTCCTGTCCTTGACCTCGGGTAAAAAGAAGTAGACCCAGAGGCTACATTGGTGGAGTCATATTTCACATCAGCCAACAGCGTTCTAGACATGAAGCCTGGCAGGGGCGGAGGCGCTTAGATAAGGTAAAGCAGGGAGCAGAGCACTTACGCTGAGATGAAACACGACGGGGTCCATATGTAGCCGTACTTGGGCCCCCAGTTGAGAGACTCAGGGTTGATAAAGTACGGGGCCGTGAACGTGGTCAGCCAGGCGGCAAAGAAGCCAATAGCCGTGGCGAAGCCAAAGGTGTAGGACCGTAGGCGCTGCGAGGGCAGCTCGCCGCCCGAAATCCACGCGTATGTTGCCACCATGCCCTGTAGAAGTTTCACTATTAGGTCCGTGTCTGTGGGTTTGAACTCAAGTGCCATCAAAGAGGAATACGAACGTTATAGCCGAGGATGTAGACCACGGACAAGCCGACAATTGCTTGGCCGGTGGACTTGGCTCCCGGGTTGACGTGATAGATGACGGCGGTAAGCAGCTGCGCAATGCCGCACAGGGTGAGACCCGACACAAGGAAGACGCGACGGCGGCCGAAGTGTGTGACGAGGGCGCTGTTGATGAGGATGGCGACGACACCGACCGAGATGAGGATGCACGCGTTCTCGAAGGCGTCACCGATGCCCGCCATCTGGAAGAAGTACGTGCCGTACGCTGGCATGCCGTCAGTCTGAATAACCACTCCTCAGAAGTAAAGGCGTGAGAAAATGTACACACCAATCATGTACATGGCCCCTGACGCGCCCTGGACCGTCAGCGCGCAGGTAGCCAGCATAGTCCGCCGGCGGTCGACCGCGTTGCGGAACATATCCCACACTGCAACGCTCTTCTCGCGGGACATCTCCGTCTCCAACGCGGCCTGAATATCGCGGACCTCCTGCTCAATCTCGGATTCGGTACCAGGACGAAGCCAGCGGAGTGCCTTGCGCGCCCGGTTCAGCTTGCCGTGCTGGGCCAGCCATCGCGGTGACTCGGGCACAAACGGCAAGCCAAGGGATATGAAGACCGGGACGATGTAGATGAGACCGAGTGGGATGAGGTAGGCGTCCTTCCCGTCAATCTTGGCGGTGAAATTGTCGACGACGGTGCCGACGAGCGTGCCAACCGATGTCCAGACTTGGAAACTCGAGATCATCAGGCCCCGGTACCGGGCGGGAGAGCATTCCTGAAGGCGGTTTATGTATCAGTACTGCCGTACAGATACTTAGGGCGCGTGAACTTGAAACGCACCTGAATGTAGAGCTGAGAAAAGGTCATGAACATGCCGTTGGCGATGCCCAAAAGCAGCCGCCCTGCATACAAGCCCGCAATGTTGGTTGTGGCCATCATCACCACGTTTGAAACAATGCAAAGCAGACTGGCCGTCCACACCGTCATCCTCCGGGACATGACACAGGCGATGGGGCCAGCCATGGCGGAGCTGAGGAAAGCACCGAGTGTCATGAGGGACGAGATCAGCTGCTGGCGCTCGGTCGAGAGGTTCCATCCGCCGGGGACGTTAATGTCTTCGTAGCCAAAGACCTGTATGTGACGAAACCAGTCAGTCGTGAAATGCGCCACCCGAGGGCAAAGACTGGGCCCTGGCATACCCTGAGAAACCCGATCATGGCCTGCAGCCCGCCAATGAGGCCAAAGTCGAGGCCGTATTGGAAGGGGCAGAGGGACATGAGGGTGCATGCTGCCAGGCATTTCCAGTGCTGCTTCATGGTATATTTCTCGTCTGGCGGAGTCTCGGACACCGTCGAAGATCCCTTTTCATCATCCGCCATGGTGGCAGGGGTAGGCTTCTGATGGTGGTGCAAAGTGAAGACCGCCCGCAATGGACACTACCTGATGTGAAGGGAGCAGGGAGCTTAAAGTACGTAGCGTTGATCTGACGCAATGTGCCAAGCCTGGACCGGACTGCAGTGCTCAGCTATGAAGAGATCGTCCCAGAGTCAAATCCTGTACATGAACACAATGTGGGAGGCCAGAATCTTGGGATTACCCTCAAGTCGCCTCATCAGAACTGTATTTATGTGGTACTCGCTGTTATTGCTCCCCTCCAACTCTCGTTTACCCCAATTCTACATCTCCAATGCCGATCGAGCCATCAACTACCGCCGACAACGTGACTTATTTTGGCATCATGTCCTCAAGGAACCAAGAGGTTCCAGATCCATGGGACGCAGTCCCCATTGAAGCAGGTTACAAATGCAAAGGTCATCGAGGTGCTGCAGTCCTACCGATAAAGGGCCTAGTTCAGTGCATTATTGCCATCAGAAGGCAGGACAGGTTCCGGATCCCGTATGGTGTGTCCTGTCGATCAGAGCTTGGGTCGGATGAGAAACCTAGGGAAGACAAGGGGTCTAATCAGCCGATCCTTAGCGGCGGCTGTGGTGTTACTGGTGGCGAGCGGGAGGTTCAAGGTCTTCCTGGTTGTCTCCAGGTTTCATCGAATAAAGATTAATATCGCCAACTGCCGATATGTGCATGTAGTCACGTTAGGTGGCGAACGAGGTTTTTGACGTGGCCAGCAGTGTGGCTAGCGCCTATGTGAGTAGCAAAGGACATATTGCAGTCCGCCATCCCTGCTGAAAGTTGCAGCTGAGTAAGGTACAGTTGTTGGTGTTTGGACGGTACCTAACTACATGTAGGGTCAACGCGCAAAGAATCTTGAACTCCGCATGACGTTGGAGTTAGTGTATCTCCAATATTTCCAAAGGGTTGTTACCATCGGGGCTCTTCTTCACCCCTCATTCGTCCACCTCTTGTACCTGAGATTAGAAGTGTGGCCTCTGCTTGGAGTCATTGTGCGCTTAATAACATCCGCCTCTCCCTCGGGCCTCCTTCAAGTTCCAGTAAACGACTAGAGTGCGAGTGTCCTAACCATCTTTGACATGGCATGGTGTCTGGATTGGAGAACCCGAACTCGATAGCAACAACCTAGATTCTAGCACAGTGATGGAGTGATGGGTCCGGGTCTCCTCCAGTCCCCGCCGGTTGAGCACCGTCGTCCCCGACCCCGCTCCGTCATGTGATCCACACTACCACTCCGTCTTCCGGTCGGTAGTAGATTTGCCGCCGAGAGCAAGTCTCTGGAACAGATGGCTAGCATTTCCCGCTTTTGATCCCTAACTCCGAGTTTCCCACCCATTTTGACCTGGTATCAGCGATCTTGGGATATCGATCGGTCAAGGGTCTCAGGGGTACGTTAGACCCAGCTACATACAAGCTTTGTTTTGTTCAGCGCTTCCTTTATCCTGGGTCAAGAAACGGAAAGACCAATTTGCTACTTTCCTTTTCTTTGTCCGGTCAGGGGGTTCTCAGGGATCTGCTGGAAACACACACACGACTTGTTGAGGGAGTGCTTAGGACAAGATGCTCTCAGGAAGATTGCTCGACGGGTTCGCCCTACTGAAGCTGCAGTCGACCATGGCGGACGGAGGTCTTCTCAATGCCACCCTTGGCTTATTGGCCATCGCGGTGACGGTGATTGCAGCCGACTATTCGTGGATGCTCTACCTGAGAGCCAAGATGCCCCCAGGCCCCTTTCCGTTACCCATCATTGGCAACACATTCTCGTTACCCGACAATAAGCCCTGGATCTATTTCGAGGAGCTGTCCAGGAAATACAACACACCACTGATAACATTCTGGATTGGGCGGTAGGCAATCTTGATCCTTGACCCTTAACCCACATGGACCTTGCTGACAACAGCAGGAACCCGACCGTGTGGATCAACGATGCGTGGTGTGCCCACGAGATCTTTGAGAAGAAAGCCCAGATCTACGCGTCCCGCCCGCGCATGGTCGTCTTTGGGGAGTTGGGCAGTGGACAGTCAAATTTGGTGACGATGAGGATTCGCAACCAGACGGAGCGTGATCACTGGCGTCTCCATCGCAAGTTGATGCACATGGGCGTGGGCGCGCAGACAGTCCGCGGCTACCGGGACATCCAGAACAACGAGAGCAAGGTCGCTGCCTACGACTTTCTGCGGGAGCCCAAGGAATACGTCAAGCACTTGGAGCGTTATGCCACGAGCGTCGTATCCATCATCGGCTTTGGTCGGCGCGTGGCCAGCTACAATGACCCTATCATCACAGAGGTCATTGCTTTGATGCAGTTGGCTGCCGATCTGAACGTGCCTGGAAAGTCATTTCCTATGTTGTTGGAAACCTTCCCATGTAAGTGGCATCTAATCGTTCCCGACATGCAAAATTGCAGTCCTGACAACCGGCAGTTCTCGCCAAGTTCCCTCGGTTCATGCCCTGGTTCAAGGGCCTCGGCACTCGCGGCCAGAAAGGCGGGCATTACTTTTTCTACACGCTCGCTGAGGAAGCCATCGACCAATACGCGCAAAAGCCACCCTCGGAACAAGCCTCGATGCCCACCCCCTACGTCAAGACGCTCTTCGAGGAGACCAAGAAGTACAACCTCCCCGTCGCCGAGCTCTCCGCGTTAACAGGCAACCTCTTTGGAGCCGGCGCCGACACATCCTCCAGCACGCTCGTCACCTTCGTCCTCGCCTGCTGCGCCTTCCCCGACGCCATGAAGAAAGCCCAAGACGAGATCGACCGCGTCATCGGCCCCAACCGCTCGCCGCACTGGGACGACGCGCCGAACCTGCCCTACATCAACGCCTTCGTCAAGGAAGTCCTCCGCTGGCGCAGCGTCGCCATCATCGGCGGGCAGCCGCACTCGCCGACCCAAGACGACTCGTACAACGGCTGGCTCATCCCCGCGGGCACCTGGGTGCAGGGCAACGTCTGGGCTATCCACCACCACGAGCGTGAGTTCCCGGACCCGGACCGCTTCTATCCGGACAGGTACCTTGAGGGCAACGACCACCGGCGTCCGTTCCCCGGGGAGAGGGGGTACATGACGTTTGGTTGGGGCCGGCGCGTGTGCAGCGGGCAGGCGCTGGCGGAGCAGGGGACGTGGGTAACGGTGGCGCGGCTGCTGTGGGGTTTCAATATCCGCAAGGCGCGGGATCCGAAGACGGGGAGGGAGATTGACGTGGACATCTTTGCTTTTACGAACGGGCTCAATATGCGGCCACAGCCGTTCCCGTGCGAGATTGTGCCGAGGAGCGAGGAGATACGCGAGGCGATTGTGCGCGAGGGAGAGCAGGCACTGCAGGATCTTAAGATTCATGATGGGGAGAGCAGGTACCGTATGAGCACCTTCTATCAGCAGCAGAAGAGGAAGTTGGCTGAGGAGCCCGTGTTGGACGAGCATGGCAATGTCAGGGTTGTCAAGGTTAAGGCGGTGTAAGAAGGGCTGATGGAGCCTGGAATTCCCGTCTGGAAAGGAATCGGATAGGGCAGGATTCTAGAAGCGTGCAGCAGCTGAAATCAGCCAAACGTATCTACCAAGACAGAGGCATGATTTCATGGTCATCACAATGCTTGAACGTGCCAAATATGTGGGTTTCGTGCACGCCCGACTTGCCACCTTCAATGTCATGTACTTTACAAGTATCACCAATGTCGTGAAACCCACAAGTGACACTTTGAGACCAGAGGCCATCACGACAAGGCTTGGATATGCATGGCGTCTCAAATGTTCTTTGGGACATGTATGTGTCGCATTGTTTTCGAATTGAAGTACCCATACACTGTTGTTCTCGCCCCCTTTTCGGGTTGTGCTCCCCTGGAGTTGGGGGCCTACAAATTACACACAAACCCACTCGTTGACTTGTTGACCGGTATGGAACACCTGTCATTTACAATCCTTATATGAACGAACTCACTCGCTTCCAGAGGAAAATGCGAAGGCCTCGGTGTTGCTATGGTCGATTGGGTAAGCAGGAACCCTAAACCCTTCCTTACCCTTCTACCCCTTTTTGGAATCGGAAAACGGCTCCCACATTTCGAGTCCGAGCTTCAACGCCAAACAACACATGGGACGCGTGACCAAAAGTTTGAGAGATGGTCGATTTTTAGATGCGGGGGAGTTACTGACCTGAACTTCCCCGCATCATCCCACCATGGCCGAGCAGCTTCATATCCGGCAGATGAGGAGAAAAGCCGAGACAAGACAAACGGTCCGGATTAGGCTGATGTTTCGCAGCAGAGAGTCCTCTGTAAGGCGATGCGGAGGCGCGACCCTGGACACGCCCACGGAGCCACTGTTTAGGCCAGAAAACAACCTGAGCGATGCCACAGGTTCATCGTATCGTACCGTTGCATTACATGATGCCTCATGCTCATTTATACCTGTGAAGTCCTCACACCGTGACATTCACTTTACTTGTTTCAGCTCATCAAAATCTTGTACTTGCATCTCCAAACAGGGGGTTCATCATCAAGCCCTTCCTCACCACCACTTGCCTAACCCTACAACTACAATCACTGCGACAAGACCACCCTTTTTTCACGGACCAAACCATGTCGGCCCCCAAATCCGGCATCAAAGTCGTCGTCGTCGGGGCCGGCTTCGGCGGCCTGACGGCAGCCATCGAGTGCCACCGCCAGGGCCACGACGTGTCCATCTACGAGAACTTCCCCGAGCTCAAGACGCTCGGCGACATCATCTCGTTCGGCGCCAACGCGGGGCGCATCTACCACCGCTGGTCCGACGGCAAGATCGCCCGCCGCCTGCGCGAGTTGTGCATCGACCTGTCGTCGTACGGCTTCCGCATCCACAAGTACGACACGGGCGAGGTTGTCTACCACCAGCCGACGCCCGAGCAGAACCCGGAGGCACCCGTCTTGAATGGTCATCGCGGCGAGCTGCACGAGGTTGTGTTTAATTACGCGAGGGATGAGTTGGGTATCCCGATCCATCTGGGCCAGAGAGTTGATGAGTACTTTGAGGACAAGCACCAGGCGGGAATCGTGCTGAAGAGCGGTGAGAGGGTGGTGGCGGACTTGGTGATTGGCGCCGACGGGGTGCGGTCCAAGGCGAGGGAGCTGGTGCTGGGCTATGTCGACAAGCCCAAGAGCAGCGGGTATGCCGTCTGGCGGGCGTGGTATGTCACCCTCATCCTTAGCCTCAAATCATCCCAGGCCGGCGTCATCTGACATTGACATCTCAGGTTTCCCAACACGGACATGATCCAAGACCCGCGCACGCGCGAGTTCTGCATCAACGGCGACACGTTCAACGGCTGGATCGGCCCGGACGTGCACTTCCTCTTCAGCACCATCAAGGGCGGCAAGGACTGCTGCTGGGTGCTGACGCACCGCGACGAGCACGACATTGACGAGTCGTGGTCCTTCCCCGGCAAGCTTGAGGACGTCTACAAGGTGCTCGAGGGCTGGGACCCCGTCTGCCGCGCCATCGTCGAGAAGACGCCCAGCCTGGTCGACTGGAAGCTGGTGTACCGCGACCCCTTGCCGACTTGGGTCAGCAAACATGCCCGCATCTTGCTGTTGGGCGACGCGGCGCATCCGTTCTTACCGACTAGCGCGCAGGGCGCGACCCAGGCTATGGAAGATGGTGTCACTATCGCCGTGTGTTTGAAGAGGGCAGGGAAAGAGAATGTTCCGGCCGCGGTGCGGGTACATCAGGAGCTCCGGTATGGGAATAACCCCTATCCCGTCTACCTAGGTATCTTGTTTGTTCTAACGCATTATAGGTATGAGCGTGTCAAGGCAGTGCAAAAGACGGGCGAGACTACCCGCGACAGGTGGCACAAGACGGACTGGGCGAAGGTGGCCAGCGATCCCAAGAGCATTGCCTTCCCCCGCGAAGATTGGATCCACCACCACGATGCTGAGAAGCACGCCGAGGAGATGTTTGACGAGACCTTCAAAAAGGTAACGCAGCCCGAGTTGTTCGAGGACGTCAAGTTGCTACCCGTCGGCCCTATCGCGGTAGCGGTATGAGCGCAATGTATTGGTTGGAATGGTGCATGGGGGCGTGTTTGTCATGGTGAACGACCAAGGGGTATATTGCTCAGGGACCGGGAGTGAAGCTAGTGATGAGTTGGCTTGGATCTCAGAGGTCAATATGCCATCTGCATTAGCTAGGGCCAGTATCAAGGAACGATAACATTGTTATGTACCTACAGTAGTTTGGCTGATGTAGTGGATGGCCGGGCAGCTTACGCCTTGGGGTTGCCTTCGTGCATCTTAACCCAAGGCCATGATTGGTTGTATACCTTGCAGCCCCTCACCCAGCGGCTGTTGTGACAATCGGTAAAACGCCGTCCTGGGATTTGGTGCCCATTTTGCTCAACTTAACGTACATTAGGCGACTCCAGTCGACATTCCCGATGTTGTGGACAGCCTTCTTTGGGACCAAACCGAGATTGATGACCCAATTACTACTCACCTAGACTCGCAACAACAGTGTCAGATCCTATCTAGTCGCCGCTGACGATGGCTCGCCCCGTTATATCCTACCGTTATTCCTCCCTCCCCGACCACTGCATCCGTCTGCTCCGCCTGATTCCGCACTGGGACAAGACCGCTCCTCTACAATGCAGCTTGTTCACCAGTCCCATCTTGATATCGGGCCGAGCCAGTCATTCGTACGAAGCCTTGTCGTATGTCTGGGGCTCGCCGGAGAGAACCCATTATGTCTGCATTGACAACTGCGAGCTGCCTGTCACGGCGAGTCTCCACGGGGCCCTGTCGCGCCTCCGAGACTCCCTCATTGAGAAGATTGTGTGGGTCGATGCTATCTACATCGACCAGGAGGACTTAGGCGAACGGGAGAACCAAGTTCAGTGCATAGCCGAGATAGATGCCAAGGCGAGCCGGGTGCTGGTCTGGCTCGGGGAAGAGAAGGACGACAGCTCTCGTGCATTGCAGAGGATTCACAAAGCTGCTGATGAGCTGTATGCTTTTGATTGTAACAGACGATGCGGACGGCGCGGATGAGCCTGTCCTGGCCCTGCTTGAGCGTCCGTGGTTTACGCGCATATGGGTAAGAAAAATACAACCCAGGCGCAACTATGGAGACAGCGCAGCTTCGTGTTGCTAACGAGTTCGATCCATTCACAAGGTCTTGCAAGAGGTTGCCGCCGCCCAACACGTCCTTGTGGTCTGCGGTTCCGCCGGATTGATGGCTACGCATTCTGCGTTGGGCTGACGTCCCTGAAGAGCGTCTACGCAGACCGGGCACATTTAACAAGCCTCATCGGTTCGGCAACCTACCTCATTCGACGCGTTGTCTTTTAGGCCCGAATACCAAGTCGGCCAAAAGGGTGGCTTCTCTCTCAGGGTTCGGCCACTGGGGGAGCTGCTAGATATGTACCACACCAGAGAGGCTTCCGACTCCCGCGATAAGGTATATGCTCTCCTCGGCATGAGCTCGGACCGTCAACAGTATCCTCAGTTGCTCCCTGATTACAGGACTTCACTGGGCGATCTTCTCCGCACGTTTATCAACTCCGTGGTCAGCGAGCAGTTGGAGGTAACGACGTGGGACGATGAGGAGTTCTGCGTCATCGAGGGCAGAGGATACGTGGCCGGAGTGGTCTCCGTTGTGCAGAGTGATCGGATGATGCATGACAGACAACGAATCGACGTCTCGTTAATTGTGGGTTCCACCCAACGAGCCCAGGAGACTCGATGGACTCTCCCACCTTTGGCGAAACAGATCCGAAGCAGCGATCTCATTTGCATTTTACAAGATGCTTCGACGCCAACAATAATCATGCCACATGCGGATTATTGCGAAGTCATTGCCATTTCGGTTCCAATGGGGATCGGCGAGCAATGGCCGCCGGGGTTCGGCAATGTTCATGTCGACCCCATGAATCTGTCAACAACCGGCATTCCTTACAATCTGTTGCTCTCTTGGGACCGGAAGATGTCCGGTCAAAACGGTGAAGCCGAAGCTGTAGATTTCGCTTCTTTGGTTCGCAAACAACTGCCGAAACATAGCCAGAAGACAGAGGTCCAAGATTGGGTGAAGGGGGTGACTAGGTGGCAGAATACTGGACGTTTGGTGGGGGATCTGAACGAGTGGGAAGATGCCCAGCTTACAAACTTGAGAGAGGAGCTCGAGTTGCTGAGGTCAGTAACTGGAAGTGGGACGTACTAGAAAAGATGGTACCGGAAGGTAAATAAGGAAGCTAGGTACCAAGGTATTAAATTGAAGTTTTGAGAGAGACAAGGTAAGGCGTTGAGCTATTATACAGAAGCAGTATAGTCCTAGAGTTGCGTAAGGGGGAGGGACATGGCATGGACCGAACGTGACCCAGTAGTGTGGATGTCGTCTAGATATTCAAAAACAAGGGCACTCTGCTGGCAATCCAGTCCGACTTGGACATGCACTGCCATGTAGTTATCTACCTTAGGCTACTCCTCATCTATCTGCATTATGACACTCTTGGTCTCTAAGAAGTTGTTCATGCTGTAAAGAAGACCCTCGCGCCCCTGGCCACTGCTCTTGTACCCGCCAAACGGCAGGTCATGGGCCGTCATGGGGCTAGTGCAGTTGATACCAACATACCCGCTCTCCAACGCCTTCGCAACACGCATCGCCCGGTTGACATCACGCGTGTACACGGCCGCATACAAGCCAAACTCGGTATCGTTGGCCTTGGCAATGGCCTCCGCCTCGGTCTCGAACGTATTGATGATGACGACCGGACCAAACACCTCCTCCTTGGTGATGCGCGCCGTCTCGGGCGTGTCCAGGAACACGGTCGGCTCAACAAAGAAGCCGTTAGTACTCTCGAGCTTGCCGTTGCCGCCCAGGGCCAGCGTGCCCGTCTTCTTGCCCTCCTCGATGTAATTCAGCACGTTGCGGTACTGCACCTCGTCGGCCTGCGGACCGTGGTTGGTGTCCCTGTCAAGAGGGTTCCCGGCACGGGCCGCTCCGGCAAACTTTGTCTTGAAGGCCTCGATGAACTGCGGCGCGATGCTCTTCTGCACGTAGATGCGCGAGTTGGCCATGCACACCTGCCCGCTGTTGGTCTGGATGCTGAACTGGGTCTGCGCCACAGCCTTGTCGAGGTTAGCGTCCTCGAACACGAGGGCTGGCGACTTGCCGCCAAGCTCGAGAATGACCTTTTTAAGGTTGGTGCGCGCGGCCTCCTCCTGGATGAGCTTGCCGGTGCGACTGGAGCCCGTAAAGCTCAGAGCCCTCACGTCCATGTGCCGCGAGAGGATCTGGCCTGAGGGCACTCCGTGGCCTGAGATGATGTTGAAGACGCCGGGCGGGAAACCGGCTTCGACAACGAGCTCGGCAATGCGGGCGACGGCTAACGGAGCTTTCTCGCTCGACTTGAGCACCACTGTGTTGCCCGTGATGAGGGCGGGCGCAGACTTGGTGGCCAGGAAGTGACAGGGCACGTTCCAGGGGATGATGAGGGCCACCACGCCGTACGGTTGCCGGAGCGTCATGGTCACGAATCCGGGCGTGTTGACGCTGGCCTGCCCCTGGATCGTGGCCCATGCTTCCGAGTAGTAGTCGAAGTGGGTAGCGGCCGTGTGGGCGTAGTGGTGGGTTGCCACGGGCATGCCCATGGCGATGGCGTCGAGACGCGCCAGCTCATCCTTGTTCTCACGGAGCAAGGCAGCGAGCTTCTTCAGGTGAACGGCGCGCTTGGCCGCCCCCATGGCGGACCACGACGGAAACGCCGCCTTTGCCGCGGCCACGGCTGCATTAGTGTCATCGGCGCTGGCTTCTGGAACTGCGGAGGGTTAGGATATACCCAGGAGTCGCTATGGGGTAGGACTTGCCATGGGCCGAGATCTCGCGCGTCGCCGGGTTGTAGACGGGAAAGGTCTTGCCATCTGATGCTCCAACCAGCTGGTCAATGTAAGCATTATTCCTTCTTTTTCGTGCTAGTAAGACGGCGACAGTACCTCTCCATTGATGAGCATGCAAGGCCGGATAGGATTTGCCTCAGCCATCTTGCGTGGTTTGGATGTCTCGGCTTCAGGGGAGTGGTCTCCAGTTTGAGTCAACTTCAGGAAATCAATGCAATCAAACCAATTATGCACAGTTCAGCGTATGCGGTGTGTTAATCCGTTCCAGGTCCCATCTGCTGTCCGTCCAGATCAAGACGGCAACAGGGACTGAGACCCTGATCATCGAGATGCAGAAGATATTGAGCCATTGAACCCCCGCTCGGCTCCAACTTGGGAGGTTCTCGCACCGGAGAAGTCCAGCCGGCAAAGGCCTAACCGCTCAGTGACACCGTGATACCCTCAGCGGGCTACAAGCCCTGCTCCGTCCCTTGTGCGGCAGTTCCGGTTTCAGGCTTTCAGCAACCCCGCAGCAGAAGAACCGCGGCGCCCTCATGCAAAGTGAAGTGCAAAATACCATGTGCCTGGATTGGCGGAAAGCATTACCCGTGGAGCAAACTAAACCTTCTGTGGAGCTGCCAAGCTACCCGAGATGGACGAGGGGCTGATCAGGGGATCAAACTTGGCATCCACCTCCACGTTAGAGTTGGGAGCCATGAGGTGGCTTTCAGCCGTCTGAGTTTAGGGGCGGAAGCTCTCCTTGTGATAATCAAATGCCGAAGGTGGGGAAGGTCGAGCAGCGTCTACTACATACTTACTGTCAACCTCAATTCGGATTTCGGAATGCCACCCCCTGCTCGACGTTGGGGATGGCTGCTGGCGGGATGATGACCGTTGATGGCGATCTCCGTTACCCCTTCTCGTCCGAGTTCATGCCGACCTTGTGCTTCCATCCTTGTGGCACTAGGTAAACGGGCCTGGCAAGCTGCCGGCCCCCGGGCCACCTACACGAACGTCCTCCGCACCTGCTGACTGGATGCCGAATTCTACCCAATCCCGGAACCCAGAGTACATCTCGTCTCACCTTAACAAGGACTGATCCATCCATCTCTCGCAGAGAGAGCTGTAGTTCATTTGAAGCTCCGTTTAGTACCTTATCACAGCTCTCCAAAGCTCACCAACAAGTCGCCAATAACGTCACATCAAGCTCAAAATCCAAGCTCAAAGTTCGATTTCAGCCATGGCCACCAAGGCACCGAGAGGCACCATCGCCATTGAAGAAGCGGTGCTCAACCCAGCCGGCCTCTCCTGGATAGCCGAATCAGCACCTCTCTTCAACCCAGGCCAAGCAATATCCTCCCTCTCCCCCTCCTCTTCCTCTCCATCTTCCAGCGACACACCCAAACACTCCCTAAACAGGCTTCTCCTCGACATCCACAACACCCGGCTCGCTCAGATGGACGACCACGGCGTAGAGTACATGCTGCTCTCGCTAACCTCGCCCGGCGCCCAAGGCGAGCCCGACGCAGCCAAGGCGCGCGCCCTAGCCGCCGAAGCAAACGACTGGCTCGCCGGCGAGGTGGCCCAGAACCCGGCGCGGTTCGGCGCCTTGGCGGCCGTGTCGATGCACAATGCCGAGGACGCGGCTGCCGAGGCGACGAGGGCGGTCAGGGAGCTGGGCATGTTTGGCGTCATGGTCAATGATTACCAGGTGGTTTCCGAAGGGGGAGATGTCGAGGGGAAGAAGTATTATGATGCGGCCGAGTTCAGGCCGTTTTGGAAGGCTGTTGAGGAATTAGGTGTGCCTGTGTACATGCACCCGCGGTATCCGCCGGCGAGGGATTTGGTCACGGGGACGAGGTACGGGGAGAGAAAGCAGATTCTTGGTGCGGCGGTGCAGTTCCATTTGGATCTGAGCATGCATCTGTATGCGCTCTGCTCCAGCGGGGTGTTTGATGAGTTCCCTGGTTTGCAGGTTGTAGTCGGGCATCTGGGCGAGGGGTGAGCTGAATCCTTTAAGGCACCGGTGAAGCCGTCATGTCTCAGTACTGACTGCGCAGCAGAATTCCGTTCAATCTGTGGCGGGCGGATCACTGGTACAACAAGCCGGTCAAGAAAGCGACGAGGCCGTCCAAGGAGGACTACAGCTACTACTTCACCCACAACATCTCCATCACGACGTCTGGCAACTTCAACACGGCTGGTCTGAAGTTCTGTATCGATCAGCTGGGCGCCGAGCGCTGCTTCTATTCAATCGGTAAGGTTACCACGAAAGATCTCGAGGTTTTGAACTAACCACGTCTAGATTATCCGTATGATACCATCGGCGAGGCTCAGGCGTGGTGGCGCACCGTCGATCTGCCAGAGGATCAGAAGAGAGTGATAGGCCGGGAGAACGCCATTAGGTTGTTCAAGCTGCCGCTAGAGATCTAGAAGTCTAGGGTATGGATCGAGGAGCTGTTCTGTGGTGGAAACATCGCTGAGTGTCTCGGTTGCCTACAATATTCTATGGTCATTGAATTCCATAGTTGCCTCATTCTGAAAGTGCGAATTCTACTCCGATTTCAGGGTTTTCAGCTGACCAAGGGATGTGGGATTCCGCTTAAGATCAGCAGGTAGTTGACAACCTGCTCGCATGACCAACTCTGCCATCCCCCGAGGTTGTTGCTTGCTATACGGTTCGTATTCAGCTTCAACAAGGGAGGCGGGGATTTCAATCAACTAGAGATTTTTGTGTCTCAATATCCAAAGTTCTAGTCAAATTCATCGTTCCGGGGGTATCGTAATGGCAAAGCAGAAAGCAAATCGCTAGACGTCATAATAATATGCATGAAAGCTCAGTCAAGCTCCGTGGACATAGACTTCCGTGTCTCTGTAGGCCTTCCTCGGCGACGTTAGAGCCTCCAGACTTGTAGCGTTCAGCTGGTTCTCGTCTGCTGTGTCGAATCTGGCGGTATATCGGCCCTTGTCGCCGCGGATGAGAGCACGGAGGACGGGAATAGAGGCCGCCATGATGGTGGTGGCGCCCTCTGCACCACCCCAGATGGTCACGGCAACCGTCTCGGCTGTTACGTGTCAGTGGGCGTCAGCTGTGGCGAGGGTTGGGAAAAGGGAGGAGGGAGGAGGGAACTCACCGGCTTCTCCGGTGAGTTTCGGGAGCATGGCCATCTTGACAAATGAGGCAGCACCGGCGCTGCAAGGGTGTTAGCAACCCCCGATTAAGGAACGCACAGGTTGATGGGCGCGTACATGATGCCCATGCTCATGGCAATCCCGATGCCCAGCCTCTCCTTGTTGTTCAGCGTCTTACGCATGCCGAAGAGGATCGTCCAGGGGAACAGGGCAAGCACGACGTCGGCAGAGCCAGACCAGCCTACGAGGAATCCGTCGAGTTAGCGGTGTCCAAGGATTGATGATGTTCGCAGTCAAGAGACTCACCAGCCGACCACTGATACAAAACCACAATCTTTGCCGGGTCAACGCACCACCCCTCGAGGCCCGAGTCCCAAATCTTGGCAAACGGCCGGCACTTGATCCACATGAAGAGCATGGCCGTGCCGAGGATGGCATTGACCGTGACGATGATGAACCAGATGGCGGTCTTGAGCCAGTATGAAGCCTCGCAGAGCCGGAGGAGGGTGAGGGCAAAGGACGTCTTGCTCCAGGCGGCGGCGAGGACCGAGAAGAAGCCGGCAAAGACGGCGACGAACTGCATCGTCGTGATGCTCTCGGCCGGCATGTCGTACGTGTTCTTGCCGTAGCCAAGAGTGACGCAGACCGAAGTGGTCGCAGCCGAGACCAGGAGGGACACCTGCAGTCGATCGTCAGCTTGATGTTTGGGGTTTTCAATGACTGCGAGGAGCGATGTCGTATTACCCATGCGGCAATGAGGAAATAATCATCCCACCACAGCCGGCGGCCGCGGTGCAACTTGCAGTAAATTCTCAGCGCAAGAAATGCAGCAGCCAAACCGGTGAGCAGCCAGAAGACGATATTGAGCTCCTGCCCGAAGTCTGGATGGGGCAAGCCGTCGTCGTCCACGGGCTGGGTGGATGACTGTCTTGGTTCCATGTCCACGCCGTATGGCACGGCTTTGTGGCCAAGACTGCAGCGTCCCGCAGCCGGGAAACTCTGGTCCCGTCTGCAGCCAGTCAGGGATATTTATTGCGGCTCGGTATAATTAAGCCGACCGGCAAGGACCACCAGACGATCACTTTCTGGTACAATTCGCTAGGAGGGAGAAACAAAGCACGTCGAATGGTTCAGTCTTCCATTGTCGTCGTGGATCTGCCCTATACAATAGCGTCGGTAAGGTGCCCGCGGGGAGACGCGGGGATAGGGAAAGCCTGGGGCCGCGGGGTTTTGCTGTGTTTATTTTCCATCCCATTTGCCCGTGTTGCTGTTGACGTGGAGCCGCGTGTGCGCTGGTGACAAATTAGCGAGCTGCTATCCCAAGCCAGTGCAGTGTCCGCCCCTCGCACTCTAGCCGCGCTCGGACAGTGGAGTCTGGAGAAGGGGGGTCTTTGTCGGAGTTTGCCGTGGGAAGCGAGCCCCTGTATCTTTCGTTTTTCCTTGGTTTCTCTCTCCCGGAACTCCGGGGGACGGCCCGTCCTTCTCCAGCCCTACCGTTCAACGGAAGATACCAGGTCCATGACCAATTCTCATCAATCGCCTCCTGGGTTCGTTTCACACACCGCGCGTGTCCAAGATCGCGGTTCTGCTCAAGGATGATGTAGCACGATTCGATGAGGGCAGCAAGCAGCCTAGCGTGGCCGGGTTTTGAACTGGACGTTTTGGTCACAGAACCCTCACACAGCGCCCCGTTTGTTTCGGAGGAACTGCATCTGCACCAACCAGGGGCCGACAGCACCAATTGCACGACCAACGCCTTAGCAGACTCGGAAACCAGGCCCGAGAAGAGCATTCTCGGAGTTCCGACCCCCGACTTTGATCGACTGATGAGGGTCGCTCCCAAGTCGATGGATCGTCCGAGGAGGGTTGTACCCGCGTGGGCGGACGAGGCCCGTGCACATCGATGGCCATGCAGCTCGCCCGTTCTGATGAGGTGCCTCGCTGCCATGTGGCAGGTCAACGGCCGACAAGGGTCCGTCTCGGCATAGATAAAATGCTCGAGTCAGGTTGCCTAAGATTCGGATAGGAGGAGATGTCGTGTCCAGCCATCGGCACCCTCAAAGCACGGATACGGTACATCCGTACCTTTCTTGCTGTTCTCTCGTAAGAAACTCGAGATGAAAGGAAGATAGGGTTAGGGCTGTGCTCACTCTAACATAAGCCTACTTTACTGAAAATTTATGTTCTCTGTACGTAGGTATACTACCAACACCCTTCAGAACAAACCAACCAACCATTCACGATTTGACGACTTTTCCACATCCATACAATGTCCTCAGCTCCTGGCCTTTTCCGTATCATTTCTCTTATTTTTACTTTGCTTGATTTTCCCCCCTCCCTTTTCCTCGCGTGACTGTAGCACTTCAAACCGAGGAAGACACCGGACATGCAATTTTTACAATGAAAACTGCTTGACCCCACCCGTGCACGCAGCAATTGATTCGATTTCCACTTCCAACATTTGGCTCCGTCTTAGCTGCTGGTCCAGCTATCTCCACCCTCAGATGCTTTGTAATCACTCCTCCGATCGCGGGGTTGCTCTTTTGAACCCAGCAAGTTGGCAAACACAGAAACCACACTTCACGTAGTATCTCACGTCAAGAGACAAGATGACCGGAATCGCACTGCTTGGAGCAGGCATCTTCGCGCGGGAGGGCAAGTACATCCCCCTCAAAACAAGCCCCGTTTACGCCCCTGTCCCTCTGAACAGAACGAATGGACTAAGCCGCAACAGAGCACCTCCCCGCCATCGAAGCCAGTCCAACCCTGACCCTCAAAGCAGTCTACTCGCGCTCGCAGCAGTCGGCTGAGGCGCTGGCTGCCGCCTCAAAGGACCCCTCGTCTGTAGCAGTTTACTTTGACAAGCCCGCCGTCGAGGGCAAGACGCTCGACGACCTGCTCCAGCGCGACGACATCGCCGCCGTCGACATCGCCCTGCCCATCCTGCACCAGCCGGGCGTCGTGGAGAAGGCTCTGAAGGCGGGCAAGCATGTGCTGTCGGAAAAGCCTGTTGCCGGCGACGTCGAGTCGGCGCAGAAGCTGATTGCGTGGTATGAGGGGGCCCTGGGCGGGGGCAAGCCGCTTTGGGGCGTGGCGGAGAACTGGCGGTATATGGAGTCGATTCGGTATGCGGCGCAGAGGGTGCGGGAGATTGGGGGTGAGCTGGTGACGTTTCGGCTGGTGAAGAATGGGTCTGTGCGGTCGGATAATAAGTATTTCAACACTGAGTGTGCGTTCACCGTCGATGGGGGTTTGTCGCGTTGTTGAAGCTTTTGCTGACGGGGTCTGGTGCAGGGCGCAAGACTCCGCAATATCAGGGCGGTTTCCTGCTTGATGGCGGCGTCCACTTTGTGGCTGGCCTGCGGTTCCTTCTTGCGGCGGCAGGCCAGGACATCAAGCAGGTGGCGGGCTTCACGGCGCTGCTCGATGAGAAGCTAATCCCCGTTGATACTATTCACGCCGTGGCGCTGACACGGGACGGCAAGCCCGGCACCATCGGCATCTCGTTCGGCACCGAGTTCAAGTCTGACACGGAAGTTGAGATCGTTACGACGAACGGCGTCGTCTCGTGGAACCCGACCGAGGTGAAAACGGTCGCGCGGAAAGGCGACAGGAGCGATGAGAGGGTTGAGGAGAAGAAAGAGTTCCCTTACAGCTCAGGCGTCACCGAAGAGGTTGCAGCGTTCGCCAAGGCAATCGAGGCCGGCAAGATCGAGGCTATCCAAACCCCAGCGGAGGCGCTCAACGACCTGGAGATCCTGCAGAGGCTGCTCGAGTCGGGTGCCGGCGGCGCGACGGTGAAGTCGATCGGGGTGTAGCCGACTTTTACTGTTGTACTTCAGGCGTCCGTCGGGGCTGCTCTATAATGGAGACTTCATCCTCAAAGGCACGATCCTGGTTGCTCATACGCGAAGGATATACCCCTGTTCACGTTCATCTAGCCCCTGAACTGGCAAAAGCAGCTTGTCCACCACCTCTATTTATACCTTGTCACTTCCAAAACGCAGCCAATCTAGTCGATCTACCCCAGAATGAGTTCGATACGCTCAGCTTTCTTTGCCTCCCACGCCGGCTTCCGTATCCTCCCAACCCCCCTCCGATAGGCGATGCGGCCCTCCCATTCAATCCAGAGAACGTCGTATGATTCCTCGCCATTCAGAGATGACACTGAAACGGCCACTACCTCGCAAGGAGGATGAGGCAGGGAATATGCCTCCTTGTCCGGCTTGCCGCAGGACGTAAGACTTCCAACACAACCGCCGGATGCATCAGCCAGGAGGACGGTAGCCTGGCCAAACACCTGCTGGACGTGGAAAAAAGCCCTCGACGGGTACGCGAGAAGTAAGTGCGAGCCATCTAATGTTGGAGCAATGCCACTTTCGGCGACTTGAGCTTCGTTCCGGTGTTCCTGAGCATCAGCAGCATGGTTTCCTCTTGTCGTCGGCGATGTCGGTTCAGTGGCCTCTTCATTACATCTGCTGAGCCGCCTCTCGGCAAAGAGGGATGGGATGGGTTTCCAATCCTCTCCGCTGTTGGCTCTATAGTTCCAGCTCACGAGGGAATATTGATATAGCCACCGTGCAGGATACGAATATCGCGTAACCAGCTTATTTTCCGCATCCGGAGACGCTCCGGCAAGGTCGATATTGGCGTCTACGAACTCGACTGCACCCTGCCACGCGGCCCACGTCCATGATGGACGCAGGACGTTAGCAGAGGCACTCGTCGCATCGACGGTTGGCTGCCGTCTGGGGCGGCGCCTCGTTAATGGAGTCTTATTGTACCACAACAAGGCGGCATCGAAGAACAGAACCGGTAGTCCGCAGATAAAACCCCGGGCAAACGACGTGCCACTAAGAACTGCCAGAATACCGGCAAACGCGTCCAGCGCATCCTCGGGGTAGGTGAGCTCGCGCCGGTTGAACTCTGTCGCGTGGCGCGCGTACTCGCCGAGGTTGGGCTGGGCCGAAAAGGAGAAGCCCTGGGCTACCACGGCTCTGTTATCCTGACACTGTCCCTCGACGGGTTCCATGCCCTCGAGCCAGACGGCGCAGTGGCATTCCCAAGTCACGGAAGTGTGGTCGAGGATGAGCAGGCGCCGCGAGAAGATCTGCTCCTGGAAAGTCCACCCTCTTTGGCTCCAGGCCGAGGTCTGCAGGCGGCGATGGGACCTTTGTATCTCTTGACAAACATGATCTTCACGACCGTGGCCAAGGTAATAGGGCGTTGTCACCGTCCGAGTCATGGGGGGCGTGGCGCCTTCGATGCCGCGTAGCCCGCTTAGCGCAGTCCCGCCCGCGGCAACGATAGTAACGTATGCGTTGGCGTAGATCGACCCCATGCGGTTCAGCTGGTGCTGTCTTTCCTCGTCGTCGTCCTGCACAATGCAGAGCGCATCCACCCACAATAGGCGCTCGCCAAGCTGCTGGGTGAGCTCCATCGCGTGCCGGATTGTCATCGGGAACTGCTGGGTCACATCATCTCCTCCAACACTTCGGGCCCAGGTCGTGGAGTTGAGGGCGCCGTCCTGTTGCAGGAGATCAATGTTCCGTCGCAGCGCCATTGACGACGGCGCGACGCCCCAGACATAGCTTAACGCCGCGTATCGCTGCCGGGGCTCTGCCGAGACGAGACACCTGCGCTGCACGTCGATGAGCCGTCGTGGGAGGTCGCTGAACAGTTGCTCGCTTGAAGTCGACAGCTGACAGTGCGCCACGTGGTGTGAATCGCAGTGCTCCAGCCAACGGCGCACTCTGCTCAGGTCCACCCATGGGCCGAGTTGTGGTGGCGGGAAGTGCCGGTTTCTGATGGCATGCAGCTTGTTGATGAGGAGTGTTGGGGGTGCTCGGGGCGATACACCTTCAAGTCGATATCGAGGCGTCCTGGCTCCATCCAGCTTGTCAACGAGGGATCTAGGGGGTGCAGCGCGTGTCAGGGGGTATTCTTCGTCTCGAGAACCCCTGGTTCCATATCAGAATTCAGGCCTTGATTCATCGGAACCTTCAACCCGACGGCCGCGAGTACTAACTTGTAAGACAATCCTGGCAGAGTCAAATGCAAGTTATCGGATTGACGGACAAAGTCCGTGACTTCGTCGCTTGTCAGTCGCCATCTCACCGCCAACGCTTCAGCGCGAGGGCTCGCCGTGCGACTGTTGTCTGGATCTAGTCTGGCGTTGAGTTGAGAGAGGAATAGTTCGGCCTTGTGGAACCAAGGCGCATCGTTGACAGACCCAGTGGTGATTTTGGCCAGCCACTGCACTGCACTGAGCAAACGTTCGACAGCTTCGGAGAGTAAAGCCGCATATTCAGTCTCAGCGGGTGTTGACGTCTGGGCGTAGCGGCAAAGCAGGATCGTACGCTGTGCCTCTCGTAAGAAGATGCTGATCGAGTCTTCTTCGTCCGTGAGATAGCCCGAGGCGCTCGGTCCGCTGGGAGGCGTCATCATTGAGGAAATGGTGAAGTGGAACTGACGGCTGGTACTCTCATGGCAATATGAACGTACAAGCGGAAGCAGTCACATTTAAACGGGGTGCTTGCGGACGGGTTGCGGGGTGGACGCCGATCTTGGTCGTTTCCAGATCGGAAAAGGTATTGACTCCAGTACCCTGCTGTGAGTCTGCAGAAGGGGTATGTATGTATGACAGGGGTATGAGGGGGCAGCCACCTCAGGCACCTACAGTAACTCACATTCAGCCTGCAACACCCTGTTTTTATAATGCTGCTGCTCCCAGTGCTTTGTACGGCGCCTCATAATTCTAAATCACCCTCTACGGCAAGCCGGGCACGGTGCGCCTTTGCTGCTTCAGCTTCCGTGTTGCTCCATTCCAGATTGTTTTGAACTACCTCCCGCCTCTATCATCACTGACATTCCCTGAGATAATGCAATAACACCTTCCCCTCAAGCCTGCCTTCCCCTGGATCCTGCCGCGAGTTCATTGGGCAGTGCCATGACCTTCGCTTCGATTTCCCATTCTACCGCCACCGCCATTCGGTTCTGGGTTGTCGGGTTTTTCCTCCTCCTTGGGCTGCTCGCTTTCCCTTCTTCCAAGATCAAGCCATTTGCCTCCGCAGCGTCGGGCCTGTTGGATATCATGAATTTCATTTTCCAACCGCCATGGTGCAACTTGCTCAGACATGCGGTATGTATATAGACCAGTTCACGTTCATGTAAGCCGTTGCATCCAAGTCTCGCAGCTCCAGGAAGGATTCAACAATCATGTACATCCTGGCTACTCCATAGAGGAATGCAACGGATCCAATGGTCCAAAACTCCCAAGCGAGCGGGAGTGTCGTCGGTTCTCTTGCGCCTTGGTCCCTCAGTTTTTCATCCCTTCTCCTTTCGAACTCAGGCAATGCAGATCGGTCCGTCAGCCAGAGATAAATCCACTTCCACCGTCCTAGCCGGATCCAGGAAGCCGCTGTTTCGAGAATCCAGAACGCAGCGGTGACTCCAAACAGGATCAGGCTCGAGACTCGCCAGAGGACCTTCTCGGTCGTAGTGGGAAACGAATGGTCCCAGAAAGCCACATGGACTGCCGTAAACAAGAGCGTGGCGAAGCAGAGGCAATACTCTTGGATGCCGTATGGATTCATGGGAAACCTGTCGTTGGGGATGCGCTGGATGGGGCGCTCGGGCGGGATGACGGGCATCCGCATGAAGGGTTGGACGTTGATGGCCCAACCTGGACCGTTCTCGTCGATGAAGTCCAGTGGTGTCGTCTTCCATGGCCGTCCTCCGGTGATATCGGCAATACTGGCCGTGGTCGCTATCCGTATCGGCGTCCGGACGTCAGCTGGCTTGTGTAGCCAGGCGAACGCAGTCATCAGGGAGCACACGACAATGCCAATCGTGTTCAGCTCCAGGGCCGTGATGGACAAGTGTTGGCCAGCGCGGCCGATGGCGTGAAGGATGGTGTAGCCGACCTGGAAGGATGTGATGAGTCGTGCGAACCGGTCCTGTTTCGACTTGTCCCAGATCTCATCGACATCGGAATTCGGGTATGGGATGTGGTTGCTGACCACCAGCCAATGGAGCTGCTTCGCGTTCAGCGGGAACGGCACACTGTCCCTTGCCTCGAGAACGAAACCGCCCATGTCCGCAAAGAATGCCATCCGCATGGTCCATTGTGGGTACCCGGAGGTGTGGAAGTCGTTCAATGAGTGTCGCGCTCTACTCCACTGACCAGCGGCGTAGGTGAGCACGATCTCGGGGGCGAGAATGGCGAGGAGCATCCAGAGGACTCGGCGCCTGAACAGGATGTAGACAGTGTCTTGTCTGGCCGGCACGTTCAAGCAAAGGAGTGTGAAGGTGCAGATGAAGACGGTCACGATGGAGGTCCAAATGATGTCCCAGGTCCCTCGGAAACCAGGGTCGCCAACCCATCCTCTGACTCGCCCATCCGAGGCTTGGAGTGTGGCTGAGACCAACACCTTGGTGGTTTCGTTGGCTTGTTGGTCGATGTTTGCCATCGCCATGATCCGGGTCCTGCATGCATGGAAAGGGTACTCGATGGCGTTCCTGAACAGTTAAACTTCCCGCCGGCGCAGAGCCACTCCGAGTCCTCGACAAGGCATGCTGGAGGAGGAAGGTTTGGTCATGTTCACTGGTGTCAAGGTTGGGAAATGAAGCTCAGGGCCTCAAGCGAGGCCATGTTGTGCGCTGGCTTCAGCCGGCGCCTCGAACATACTTGCATGTTGCCGTTCCAGGGCATCACAATGGTTGGTCGCAGACGTGACCCTGCATGCTCTCCAGCTTCTCCTCCATTCGCAGCGCAGACGCAACCGCCAGCCCCACAGGTCTCTGCAGGCTTCGCGCTGTTGGTTCCAGGCAGAGCGGGCTGGCTCACTGATTGGATGCATGACACGGAAAGCTGTGGCACGATCTGCGCCCTTTTTGTTTCGACTTTTCCAACCTGTTTTGCGCTGGCTTCCACACTCTTTGCTCTTGAATCATGCAAACGGAAATCATGCAATGACATCTTCACCCAAGCCATATCGCAGGTCAAGCGAGATGACTTTTGCCTCCATCTTCCAATCCACCGTCACCGCTCTTGGCGTTGGGGTTGTCGGATACTTCCTCTTTCTCGGACTGCTCACCATTCCCTTCTTCCAAGATCAAGCCATTTACCTCCATGGCGTTACCCTGACTTGGTTCAAAGATGTCTCCGTTGCGGAGCAATGGGGTTTTCTCCGAAATCAGGTCACGCCCTTCACGCTCAAAACGTCGGATGGTGTGACACTACATGCTTGGCACGTTCTTCCGCTGGACCTTTACCGGCTTCACGAGGAGGAGCTCGTCAAGGAGCCCGAAGGCATTGCAGTGGACTTCGCAGACCGCACATCGTTCCGGCTCCTGCGCGATGACCCACAAGCACTTCTTGTGCTCTATCTTCATGGCGCCGCCGGAACTCTCGCCAGCGGATGGCGACCTCCAAGCTACCGGGCAATGTCAGCTTTAGCTCCGAACAGGATCCATACTGTCGCTATCGATTACCGGGGTTTTGGGTCCAGCAGTGGCTCGCCATCAGAGCAGGGCCTCCTGACCGACGCCATCACGCTTGCCGAGTGGGCAATGAAAGAAGCTGGAATACCGCCTTCCCGCATCGTCATCTTCGGACAGTCTCTGGGTACAGCGGTTGGAATCGCGCTGGCGCACCACTACGTCACAAAACCCGACCCAGTCCTCTTTTCCGGCATGGTTCTGGTCGCACCCTTCGCCGACGTGGAGTTGTTGACCGCGACATACCGCATCGCCGGCACGATCCCAATCCTCGGCCCCCTGGCCCCGTTTCCCCGGCTCCTGACCTTCTTTAACACTTTCATCCTGCACAAGTGGCAGAGCAAAGACAAGCTGGCCGCTTTTGTCCGAGAATGCGAACACATGCCGCCCAGAGACGGACTCAGGTACCACATCACCATCATACACGCCCAAGACGACTATGACATACCTTGGTCTCACAGTGACCAGCTGTACTGGCATGCCGTCAACGCGGCCCGGCTTGAGGGTATCGCGTTCAATGACCTGGAGGAAGAGAAGGAACAGACGAAGACGATGCTGGGGCCGGCGGGGTGGGCGGCGGAGCACAAGACAGCGAACGGTGTCATCAGGGAGGAGATAGCCAAATGGGGTCTGCACGACAGAATCATGAGTTACCCTGTCGTTAGCCTCGCGGTACTGAGAGCGTTTACGCATCCAGGCACGAGCGTCGCTGACGATGGCGCATCTAGCGCCTCCTGGTGATTAGGCAATAGACGGCAACATGGGATTGGGAATAGAACACTTACTCCTCCTTCTCCTGATCAATAAGATAACTTCTCAAGCCACGTTCCCTGCGCCGGCAATGTTAAATAGATCTCAGGATAATAATGTGACCAGAGTCCAACTCAAAATTGACCTAGAGTTCAATGAAGCATGCTAAATCCGTGGCTAATGAGTTCATCCTTTACGTTGGGACAAGTCCCTCTGCCGGGCATGGATGGCAGTAATGGAAGAACCACGCAGTAGGAATTCCGTCCACCCTTCTCTGTAACTCAAGTAAAATGAACGTTCTGAAAGCGCACAATTTTGCATCTGCTAAACTATTAGATTCAATACTTTACTTTTCATCCCAGCTTATAAAATGACTCAAGAAGGCAGGCTTGGGAGTCGTTCTTGACCTGAGCTGGGCACTTCATGTTCCCAAACACGAATTCACCTTTCTTTCCGAACAACATTCGAGTCCACGTTCTTCACATGATAGCGTAAAGCTTCGAGTCTACAATCTTGCCTCTCTCGCCTCCTAACGCCCAGCCTTTCCTCTCGCACACACCTATGTCAATTAACAACACCAACGAAGACGGTGTTCAGTACAGAAGTCGAGAGAAGGGTTCCGCCACTCCGCGAGTCCCCGGCATTCCACCGAAAGCTGGATTGCTGCCTGTCAAGACAGAGACCACGCCGTCCGCAAAGGTACTTCTCGTTTCCTTCACCTGCCACCCACTCAAGATCATCTAAGTTGTGCGCAGACCTTCAAACTCGTCAAGCGACAAGAAACAAACCATGAACGAGAAGTCGTCGTCCGGAGGGAATCGACCCAAAGACCAGATCTTTGGAGAACAGAGCATGAACCGCAAGTTCAACCCTCCGCCTACAGAGAGTCAGAACAATACCCCCGCAGCCGGTACGAACTACCCTGCGAAGGAGCATAACGCCGCCGAGCAGCGCATCACAGAGTGGCAGACCAAGCAAACTGTCCGGGTCTTAGCGGATGTCGAAAAGACCAAGATCCGCACCCTGTTTCGTCTGCCGGTCCAACAGCTCTTTCCGTGTCTCTCGGCCATCTATTCGACCAAAGTGTCCAACCCAACAGACATCAGCACTATGGGGAAGCGGCTACGAGGCGATGCGCCTCGTGGGTACGCCACCATGGGTGAATTCAAGCAAGACCTTGAGCTGATGGTTCAGAGCTCGGTCACATTCAGCGGCGAGCACCACGATACGACGGCCATGGCGAGGGCCTGCCGGGATCGAATCCTTATGCGCATGGCCGTGCACCCAGGCGAACCAACAACGATCAGATCAGAACAATGGCCAAACGACCGGCCGGAGACCAAGGTCGGGTCATTGATCCCAAACGCCAAAAGATGGAGACTACTTTCTCCGACGCGACTCGAGATTTCACCCAGAAGATCGACAAGCTGCTTGGGGATGCGATGACGGGAATGGAGTCTGTCTCGGGAGTGAAGGCGGACTTAATGCGGGAGCTGGAGGGATGGAAGCAAGAAAACAATGGAAGAGTTGAAGGCAAAACTTTAGGAGGAGGTGAGGAGGTGACGAGATATCTAGGAAGGGGCTTGAAGGAGAAGTGGAAGGACGAGCTCAAGGAGCACTCACGAAGGAGATTGAGGCGGATCTGAGGGGATGGCAGAAGACCGTCGAACTGGAGGCCAGGGAGGAGGTGCTTGAAGACTTTGGTGGTCATCTGCATCCGGAACGCTTGAAGCTTGACTATGCCGAGTTGTTGCTCACCGAGCAAATGGATGATTCCATTTCTTAGCGTCATGGGCCGGGAAGCAACTCGCGCGCCTGGAACGCCGCAGTGATTGGGGCCAACGTCCAGCTTCAAACTCGATGGTTCCAAGCATTCTTTCACCCCCCTGCTTCGCCGATGGGCAGCCGAGCGATTGAACGCTGTGCCAAGTGTCACCAGGGACTGAGAGCAAGGAACCATTTCATGGTCTTATCTCCTTTATTTTGGCACGGGAAAGATAGATTTTCCATCTCACTGAGCACTGGAAGCGTCAGAGACGGATTATTGGTTGTTTTTCTCTCTCTCTCGGAGTACCGTTGACTAATAGAAAGGTCATCAATCAAAAGTACCTCTTGGTGCCACTCACATCGAGCTAGACACGACTCTGTCTTACATGTACTCTACAGATTCTATACTGGAGCCCTTGCATTCGAGTTACCCCTAACCCTTCCACCCCCCATCCCACAACATCCCTCACATAGTCCCTCTTTCTTCCAATTGAACCCATCATGTCAACTCCAACTCCTTCTCATCAAGTCTCTCCACCTCTCCCAGGCTATGTCCACTTCAGATCTCCGACAACCCAGGACAAGCTCTAAACGGAATCGCCGGCTCACACTCGGCCTCACAAACCGTTCCATTGGCCGGCACCGTCCCCGACCGGAAATACTCCCTCACGATACCATACGTGCACTGGCTCACGGAGCTGAGCAGCGCACAGTGCCCGACCGACTCCTGCACCACGACTGCCGACCCGTCGTGTAGCGCTGACAGGGCATACGCGTTCGCCAGCGGAGTGGCGTGGTCCGTCCTCGTCGACAGGATCAGCAGCGGCGTGGCGGACGTGGTGTTGCCAGAGGAATTATCTGGTGCGGGGCTGCCGAACGGGCCGGTGAAGGAGTATGTCGGGCGGAAGGGCCAGTTGGTGCACGAAAGGGGGATTTTGGTCCAGGCTTCGCCGACGGTGGCGGATTGGTTCAGAATGCGGGACACCAAGGAGGTGGCCGAGGGGAAGTCGTGGGTGGTGGAAGAGGAGTATGAGTCGCCACAGATGATGCCGAGGGCGACTTCCTCGGAGTGGATGTACGTTTGCGGGGGAGTACTAGGAGTCTGCTCGACGCAGACGTCTAGGCGGGTGTCGCGGAGCATGACGTTTGGGTTGGACAGGATGCGGGAGAAGTTGCCGGATAGGGCGTCGGCGAGGGCGAGGGAGAGAGGCTCGTAGGTCGCGATCGGAGAGTAGAGGCTTACGCGAATGGCTTCGGAGATGAGGAACGAGGTAACGGCATAGAGGCGGCCGTTGTGGATGGCAGAGACTGGGGATTGCTGGAGGAAGGCCAGGAGGGTGCTGATGCGGGTGCGGATGTCGGCGGACGATGTGTCGGTGGGCTGGCGTAATGCGCAGCCCGAGCCGGCGTCGAAGCAGGTTTGGTAGAAGTGGTCAATCGCAGCTTCGGCGTCGATCAGGTTCTTAGACCATGTAGCCGTCATGTAATCATCTGCATCAGCAATCCCATCCAACACCATCCTGCCCACCCGGCCAGGGAACATCGACGCAAAGGTATTCCCCAGAATAGACCCATAAGAAAAGCCCAGATACTGCAGCCTGGGCTTCTCCCCGCCGCCACCACCACAGCCCTTCGCAGTCCCATTCGTCCTCTGAGCCTTCACTACTAACTCATGGCTCCGCTCCACAATCTCCAACATATCCCTCGCCACAGTCGCAGTCGACACATACCGAAACACACTCTCCTCCCCCGGGTTCGCCTGGGCACACAACTCCCCCACCCCCCTACCCATCTGAAACCTCATCTTTAACCCCTGCTCCGTCACCACGCTCGGCAACCCCGCGGCGCGAATCGTATCCGCGGAACGATCGTAGTGGCTCTCATAGCACGACGCGCTTGGCGTCGTCAGCGCCACGCCGCGCGGGTCGAAGCCGACGATATCGTAGTGCCGCTCCCCGGGGACATCGACGAGCGCCTGGATCATGGATGCCAGTTGCAGGGCCATGCCCGTGCCCGACCCGCTCGGGCCGCCTGGGTTGATGAGGATGGGGCCGGCATAGGCTGGGTTGGAGGACGGGACTGTGGCGGGAAGGGTGACGAGCGCGATGGCTGCGAAGGGGCCGCCGGTCGAGTTTGAGTTGAGCGGTGGGGTGGTGCCGTTGGTTCGGGACCAGTCGAGCGGGACGCGCAGGCGGGCGCACTGGAAGTTGGTGTAGCAGGGGTGGTATTGCAGGTCTGCGGTCGGCGTGATGGCGGTCCAATCGAAGCTCGAGTCGGCTTGGCGGGTGTGGAGGAAGGTGTTGAAGGCCAAGGCTGGTGAGGTAAGGAGGACGGTCATGGACCAGAAGGTCCTGGAGGATGTCGTGGGACTCATGGTGGGTTTGATGTTGTGGATGAAAGTGGGAAGGGCGGAGGCGAAAAGGAGTTAGTGATGCTGTGGGCATTTCCAGAATGTTGAAGGGAATGCGGTCGATATTGATACCTTCCTGGAGAGAGGCATCTAGGCACTTTTTCCGAAGAGCCATCTTCAACTGACGAAAAATGAGGCTCAGGATGAGTGTCTACGTATGCGTTCGTCCACCTCCAGGAGGCTGTGCTGGATTCCTTCGTCCCGCCCTAAGCTTGACCAGGCAAGTGGGACAATCTCCGGTTTCACATTCTGCACATCGTGAGTGTGGTCAAGAAGGCAATGAAGTGTTAGTACCTCCGTATGGGGACAGGGATGTGATCCTTTCTCGCTAAACCAAACATACAAATCTACGGATAAGTCTCGCAGGGTCACACAGCCGAGTAAACGCGTAATGCTTGGCTGGGCATAGCAGAACAACCGGTTGAGCCACGGGAGGTGCTGTTACAACGGCAACAGAGATGGCGTGTTAGCCCTCAACCACCTTCTCTTTCCGGACCCAGGTTTATGATAGGTACAGTATTTAGCCTAGTTTAATGATGAATTGTGGCCTTCATATTTTGAGCAGCTTCGGCTTGGATTTGAGACTGACTTAGGAGGTTTCAGAAAGATCTTCTGCTAGCGTCATACTTGACGACAACTTCTTGTGATCAACGAAGAAGCGAAGCTGCAGCAGATTTCAGAGGAGGAAGAAAGGTCTGAGATGACCGAATGACAATCAAACCCAGGTTTGTTTGTTAGCGCTGTTCTTGTGAAGGAAACAAGATAAGATTGTGTGGCACTCACTGTCTCTTTTCTCCTTCCTGTGCTTTTTTTTTGTTGATTTTTCTTTTCATTCTTCTTTCTGATTAACTTACCGTACTTTTTTTTTCTTTTTCTTTGGTATTTTCTTTTCTTTCTACGTTTAAACTCTTTCCACCTTCCATTGCCCTACTTTTCTTTCCTTCTTTCATTTCCCCTTACCTTTTTCTAGCTGGGCCGCCATGTGCCACGCTAACAAACAAACCAGGGTCCGATTGTAGGATCCTACCGTACCATGCAGGGAGTCGTCAAAAGCAGGGCATTGAGTCATTTGTTTGAGCGGCTTGTTGACACAAACGCGTACCTTAAGGCACCTAAGGGACACTCGCACTGCACCAGCCATGCCTGAGCCGGGAAGTCCCAAGGCCAACTGCCTTCATCCAAAATCATGGACTGGACATAATCAGACATTACGCCAAAATGGCTTACATTGATCTACAGTATTGGAGGCCAGCCTTCCCGAACTGAGAACCGTGGGCTTGGTGGCTGGGTGCTGGGAAGTATATGAGTCCACCAACAGCAATGTTCTCGGCGAGATGGCTTTTACGACTAGTTGATACCGGATCATCTTGATTTAAAGAAACACATAACCAGCAATTCGAGAGAAGTGCAGTAAACTATATGTCTATTTTGGAATAGCAGGTAACGTTATGTGCTTGCAGTACAAGATCAGAATTGCATCCACTTAGGGCTGATGTCACAGGTGGACTGGAGTGTCATTCTTCTTTCCAGATAAAACAATGGAATTCAGATTCTTCGCGCACTCTACCCTATACCTCCATCTCCATGGAAGTCACCTTCTACCACCGTACTTACCAGAAAGCAGCAAGTCTGGCACTCCGGCGAACAACCTTGCCATTGTTGCAAGTCGTTCCAGGTGCCACGGGTTGCGGGATTGCCGCCCCGTGATTGCAAAGGCCGAAGGAGGTCGGGCTGAAGCAGATGATGGCGCCGTCGGTAGGGCAGGGCTGGCTGCCAGAGGGGCCGGAGCTAGAGCCGGCGCCCGAAGTGGCGCTCGGGACAGGGGAGATAACAGGAGGAGTAGTGGTCTGGGTAACGAAACCAGACGACGCAGTGGCGGAGGTGGTTGCTGAGGTACTCACCGTGGTACTGGTAGTGATGGGTACTACAACCAGCGAGGCACTCGTCGTCGACGTACTGGGAATTGGCATTACAACCAGGGAGGCAGTGGAGCTACTGCCGCTGTCGTTGCCGCTGTCCCCTTCAAAAGTAGGCACACCATCCGCCTTAGGACAGTCGCCCTCACTTCCAGGAGTGGGCTGCTCCAGCACCTTGCCGTACTTTCCAGGCTGCGGGATATTCAGCACCCCGTTGCCCGTGGTACACTCACCGGGAACATTAGCCAGAAAGAGATCTGGCAAGCCATCAAAAAAGGCCCTGTCATCCCCCAACCCGCCCGTGATGGTCACCGGTGCACAGTTCATGTACACCTCGCGGTTGCCAATTTTGTTGAACCACGTCCAAGCAAACGTGGCGTTGCCGTTGGGCAGGTCCTTGGGGATGGGGATGTCGAACTGGCGGATACACTCGACGCCGCTGTCGTTGCCGCAGTGGGGACCGTCGGCGCGGCCGTCCTGGTCCTTGCCCGCCACGTGGAGATTGCCGGCGGCCGAGACGGGGCACCCGCCGATGAGGGTGTAGATGGTCTTCCATTTGGACTTGTCCGCGGGCGGAGGGTAGTCGTAGGTCAGGCTGAACTGGCAGGATCCGCCGCCGTGCTGGGCGCCGCCCGTGAACTTGACCAGCTGGGTAGTGCCGGCCGTGATGGGCGTGACCGAGACGATCTCGGACACGCCCTGGCAGGGGAAGGGAAAGGTCGGGTCGAGAGGGTCGACCTGGAGGAGCTTGGCTGTGCCTTGGTAGTTGTAGGGAGTCGGTGTGTTCATGATCATGTGGCCGCTCGCCATGCCGAGGAGGGCAAGGGCAGCGGCAAGGGGGGCTGTGTAAGTGGTTGCCATGTTGGGTGGTATTGGATGTGTTTGGACTCGTTGAGATTTGTGCGGTCTTAAGACTTGGATGACATCTCCCTGGCTAGATGGGAGGAAAGGCCGTTTTATATCGACAAAAGATGTTTGGGATAAGAAGGATTGGGATTTGAACTTGAAACAGTTCCATTCAGATGTTGAACAGTGAACAGTGATTCCATGAGAGTCGATGTGAACAATGCCATTGCAATGGCAGACCACAGCTGTTTCGGTGTCTAGTCTATCCCAGGATCGCTGTGTCTTTGCGTGACAAAGGAGGGGCGGTTCCTCCTAGTCCTTGGAATAATGAACAAAAGGGCGCGGTTTTCCTGTATAGTAATTATGAACAAAGGAGCTGGGTGTCTCTACTGGATATTATTGGCCAGGTTCATAATTGAGATTGTCGAGAAGCGATCTAAAAGATTCAGCCACAACCGTTCAAGATCTTCCGGGAAAAGATGCCGTGCCGAGTTCTCATGGCTTCCATTCGGCGGCCCTGATGATGAATCGATGCTAGTGATCCGTGATGATGGATGCCTTGAAGCGGATTAGTTGTCACGATGATATACAATACAATACAATTTATTGACGCCCGACGGATAACCCGAAAGGGCAACTTTACAATATGACTAACGTTATACATTTCCCAAGATATGTACTGATCTCGTCCAAGCCCATACAGAGTTCATTCTGTCGGAACGAAGCCGCCTTGAGCGGTGCCTGCTGTCCGTGACACGAGGTGAGGAGTGTGGGCTGGGGGTGTTGTGGTGGGTTGGGTGGTTTAGTCGGCCTGCGGTTGGTTCGTGTCAGGCGGCCTGTGATCATTGCGAACCGTATGGTTGCCCGAACGGCTGCCATGTTGGGGGTCCAGTCTCTCTTATCCCATGGCAATTTCCCTCCTAGGTAGAACGAAATGTTGCTTCTGTGGGTGTCTGTGCATTCGAGCATCTCCGTTCGGTATGCCGTCCATTTTCTGCATCGGAAGAGGAAGTGGTCTACTATCTCTGTTGCTTGCCCGCACGCGCACTGATCTGCCGGTGCTGCTCCAATCCGGTGGAGGTAACCGTTGAGTTTTGCCATGCCTGTTCTGAGCTGAGCGAGCACGCCAGCCTCCTTTCGTGACAGGTGGTCGTACAGCAGTCGGGTATGTGTTCTGAGCTATAGGTAGAGTAGGAGGTGATGGATACTTGCATTCAGATAACCGTATAATCTCGAGCTTCTCGTTTTTCACTAGCAGGAAGATCCTGACTTATTGGCTTTAACCCTTGCCTATCGGCACCCTTATCGCTCAGCAAGCATGCCTCAGCCAATCGACTACCTCTGCTTGTGAGAAACGAAAAGGTCGAGATATACGGTAGTCTCTCTAGAACCAGGCGAAAAACTGGGACTCAATGTTGTACAAGGTACCTCAACATTGCAGTCGCTTTTGTAACGTCGAAAAGAGACATTTGCTGACGGGTGGGTGACGAGAGTTGGCAGGCTGAGAGCCTGACAGCGTCTGACAGCCGACAACACGGGAGAGCACTCGTTGGATTAGCAATTGAGAATTTCTGCGCGAGGGTCCATCACTGCCCGAACAAGTCTATCTCCGAAAACGCGCTTTCTCAAAGTCGTGCAAGCGCCTGCACGGCACAGGGCGCGAAGCGGGCCGTGGCGTCCGGGGAAAGAGCTTCCTGCGGCCGTCAGTACCAGGTCCGCGCGCCACTCAATGCTTGACCTGGGGAAACCGGTGTGAAATGCGACCTGGACAACGGCGGCGATTGGCCAAACCACGGCTGCCTCAGCGCCATTTGCTTCTGCAAGCAAAAAAGCTGAGGTTGCGGGCGTCGACTTTAACATTGTTCCATTTCTCTCGCATGAATGGCAATTGTTTCCCTCTCGTATAACAAAGAAGGCGGTTCTTGCCATTCCTTGTGTATGGTCGGTCCAAGCAGCCTTTCGATGTCAGCACACACACCTTTGCGAGCCAGTGGGCCAGTCTCGCCAGATGTCGTCCTCCCATGATGCTGCCCGCTCAGCCCCGGCCAATGACGCGAACGAGTCCGCCACCATCATAGCATGTTCGGTTGTTCTGCTCGGTATCGCGGCCGTGGCAGTCGGACTGCGCTTCTATGTGCGGGCCAGGCTCGTTCGCTCGGTCAAGATCGAAGATTGGTGTATGCTGCTTTCACTGGTCAGTGATTGTTGGAGAGAGGCTTCCGGAAACTAAGGTTACTAAACGAGTCTCCAGGCCTTTGCTATCCTTGCTTCCACTTTCCTCATCAAGCGTGAGCACAACAGACCGTTCAAACTCTCATGGCTAGGTACTCTGAGCACTGACGGCGCACTCTAGAGGCTCAAGCCGGTCTCGGGCGCCCTTTCAGTACCCTCCTCCCAGACGACGTAATGGCATTTCGCAAAGTGAGTGCACGCAACCTAGCATATCCACTCGGGGTATTGATGTGCCAACACAGCGAGCAGTGGGCATGGTTTCAGGGCGTATTCTACTATCTCAGTTTCTGGTTCACCAAAATGTCGATCCTTCTGCTCTATCTCCGCGTCTTGACCCACGACTACATCCGCAAGGCGACTTGGGCGGTAATCGCGATCGTGGTGGTGTACAACGTCTATACATTCGCCATGCATGTCACCATGTGCATACCCCTTGCAAAGAATTGGGATCCCTCGATTACCGGCGGGTACTGTCACGCAGAAACTGGACATGGGCAGCAAATCTTCTGGGCCGTGATCTATTTGCACATCATCACCGACTTCATGATTTTCGCCATTCCGATACCCGTTGTGGCAGCCATGACGATTCCCCTGCGCCAAAAGCTCGGCCTGTTATTTGTGTTTACCGTGGGCTTCTTGTGAGTAAATCCATCATTTTCTCTTCCTTTGTGTGGCTGACGGTGGTCTAGCGTCTGTCTCGTCTCGATCGTGCGCGCCGCCCTTCTCCATCGGTTGATCAACGCGCCAGATGTGACCTGGGATCTAATCCAAATCGCAAATTGGTCTTCGGCCGAGCTGAACGTATCCATTGTGTGCGGCTGCATGCCGACGCTGCGGCCGCTTCTGGCAAAGGCGTTTGGGCCCTTGATGGATCGCTTCTTCCCAGAGCCGCATCAGTCATTGACCGATGTCAACGACGAGCAACCCCGGACGATAGGATCGATGCCGCTCAAGGCCTTCAGGTTTGGGAGACAGTCAAAGGAGAAAGGTTCGCGAGCAGCTGCTCCTCCATCCGCGACGTCCTGGGCCCAGGAAGAAACGCTCGCCAATGTCAATCTTGAAACCGCTCGCAACGGTGTGCATTCTAAGGGCATGGACTCGGACGCGGAACTCATTGCCGGGGGCAACGAGGTCGAGATGCAGTCGAGCCACTGGCTGAAGGAACCGTCAATGGTGCATGCCAGGGGTTGAAGACAGACCCAGGATACTCGGGTACCTCCTGTACCTTACCCACCGCCACATGGTTTCTAGGCGACAAAACAGCCCGTTCCCTCCTGCTGGCTTTGTTTGTGGTTCTTGATGTCGCAAGTGACGATTATGCACCAGGACGCTTTTATTTATCACTGACCAGGGCTGCTCCAGGCTCCGTGGCGAATCATATAGGCCTCAGACCGATAGTGAAGAGAAGGGCCCTGGCTTCCCCTCAGCAGCGCCACGCCGGAATGCTGAACGGGCTAGCGTCGCATCCGTATGCCCTCAGCTGCAGCAACCACAGCGGGTAAGCAGGGCTGTTTACCCCGCCGTTTTGCCATCTCGAGCAAGCCAACGGCCCCCGGCAGAATCTAGGGATTACCCGTGATAGTGAGAAGGATTCGACTCCCTGGCGGACAGCGGTGCTGGAGCGCTTTTTAAAAGCGCCTGGGGTGACATGAACCCATTGAGAAGTAAACTGGCCATCGACAACTTGAAGACCTAGTCGTGCACTGCTAACATGGGCTTCCTCAGTGCGGCCATCCTCTCAGCCGCCGCCCTGGCGTCGCTGGCGGCCGCCGCCAGCATTCCCCACAGCAATGTGAAGCGTCAAGTCTCGCAGCTCCGGAGCAAGTATGACTTTGTCATCGTTGGCGCAGGCACGAGTGGCCTCACCGTGGCCGACAGGCTATCGGCGGCCTTTCCAAACAGTACGCCCCCTGTAATGCTCAATGTCAGGCTGCCATTGTTCTAACAGCCTCGAAGAAACGGTGCTCGTCATCGAGTATGGCGATATTCATTTCGCCCCTGGAGTCTTTGACCCGCCAACCAACTGGATGGAGGCTATCCCCAACCCCGTCCCTTCATGGAGCTTCTTCTCCCTCCCCAACCCGGATATGGGAAACCAGACAGCGTTCGTCATGGCTGGCCAAGTGGTCGGCGGCAGCAGTGCGAGCAACGGCCAGTTCTTTGACCGTGGCTCGCGCTTCGATTACGACGCTTGGCTCGACGTCGGCGGCCTGGAGTTTGCGGGGAAGAGTATCAAGTGGAATTGGAACGGCATATTTCCCTACTTCAAGAAAGTGAGTCAACCTCGGCGCTTGGCCGGTGCCTGTATGTATGAGCTGACAACAGCTGCAAGAGTGTGACGTTTACCGAGCCGCCACCAGCCGTCGCCCAGCAGTACAACTACACGTGGGATGTGAGCGCATATGGGGGCACTACCCCGATCTACTCCACCTTCGCGGCTTTCCAATGGGCGGATCAGCCTGTTCTTAAGAAAGCGTGGAAGGAGATGGGCATCAACTCCCAAGGGGAGTGTGCTGGTGGAGACAAGGAGGGAATCTGCTGGGTACCTGCGTCGCAGGACCCCCTGACGGGAAGGAGGTCGCATGCCGGGCTCGGCCACCACGCCGACGTGGTCCCAAGGTCCAACTACGATCTCCTCGTCAAGCATCAGGTTGTCCGTGTGGCGTACCCTAAGGGGCCGAAGTATGGCCCTCCGCTCGTCGAGGTCCGCTCCCTTGTTGACAACCATCTCTTCAACGTGACGGTCAAAGGCGAGGTCGTCATCTCGGCCGGAGCCTTCCACACGCCAACCGTGCTCCAGCGCAGCGGCATTGGTCCGGCCTCATTTCTCGCCAGCGCCGGAATCCCGCTCGTTCTCGACTTGCCCGGCGTCGGCTCCAATCTTCAAGACCACGGCGGCCCGTCCGTCACCTGGAACTACAGCCAGCCCTACTCCTTCTACCCACTCCCGGCCGACCTCGCCAACAACGCCACCTTCAAATCCGAAGCCATTGCCGCCTTCGACGACACCCCCTCTCACGGACCCTACACCATCGCCATGGGCAACAGCGCCATCTACGTCTCCCTCCCGCACATGACGCCCAACTCGCAAGCTATCATCAACCGCATCCGGCAGATCGCCACCACCCCAGGCGCCGCCGCCTCCTACCTGCCGCCCGACATCCGCTCCTCCCCAGTCATGGTCGCGGGCTACATCGCCCAGCTGCTCACGCTAGCCAACGCCTTCTCCAACCCGGCCTTCCCCAGCCTTGAAACGCCCTGGGCCACGTCGGTCGCGCCCGCCTCGGCCGTGTCCTTTTTGCTCCACCCGCTCAGCAGGGGCACAGTCCGCCTGAATCTGACCGATCACGTCGCGCAGCCGGTGCTGGATTACCGCGCGGGTTCGAACCCGGTGGACATCGACATCCAACTGGCGCAGGTGCGGTTTCTGCGGAGGTTGCTCGCCACGCCGACGATGCAGGGATATGGCGCGAGCGAGATTGCGCCGGGGGCGGATGTCGCGGCGGATGATGCGCTGCTGGCTGAGTATGTGAGAAGGCAGAGCATCCTGTCGTTTCAGCACCCTTGCTGTACGGCGGCTATGTTGCCCAAGGGGAGGGGTGGTGTGGTGGGGGTTGATTTGAAAGTGCATGGCGCTGCTGGCCTGAGGGTGGCTGATTTGAGCATTGCGCCGTTGTTGGTCGGGAGTCATACTAGTTCGACGGCCTATGCGATTGGGGAGAAGGTGAGTTTCTGATCCTCGGGTGGTGTGGAGGGTGGTTAGAGACGTTAAACTGACCGGGTTGCTGACCATGATGAACAGGCGGCGGATATCATTATTCAGGCATGGTCGTAACGGCAAGGTATTCAGGCAGCCGCCTGGGCTTGGTTGGAGTTGTTCATGTTTCTAGGCTGGAAGTGACTCGGGATTAGCACGACACATTACGGGTGTGAAGAGATAACTTAAGTAGAACATTCTTGCTTAGACAGATGAGAGCACAGGTACCAGAATCAACATAGGGGACGAGAATGGTTGATGACCATGGTATATAAGACGAAAAATGATCAACATTACAAGTGTTTTAACTCCCAAACTATCGAAGCACTGTCAGTGCGTCCTTCGCCTCTGGACTCTGGCATGGAGGAGGCACCCCTCCAAGTCACACCCACAATATATTATATATCCTCGACGTGAAGTCGCCAGATTTCTCGACAGTGGGCGCGGATGCGCGCACGCTCGTCGGCCTGTTGGCCCCCAGATCTCGACCCTCGGCGAGGCCAGGAACTTCTCGACCTTCCAACCCTTCGATGCCAGCGGCGAGGGCGCCCAATGGGCATGTCCAAGCCCCAATGCATACACCCGGTGCGGAACCAGGCCGCATGCGACCGGCAACGTGGTGAGCGATGTCTCTGGCGTACGCAAGAAATTCTTTAAATGGACACTGCATGATGTGGACGATGCAGCGCGCCCCGTATTGTGTCAGGTGTAGAGAATTTCAGGAATTGGATAAAGAAATCAGAAGAAACTGAGGGAATTTAATTGTGAGAGGAAAGAAAGGCGAGGAGGAAGAACGGGCGGATGAACGCGCCCTATATAATTACCTTACCCAGCTGGCCATCAGCATGTACACGCGTCAAGCGGCCGTCCTTTTGTGGTAACCTCCTGCTGCCAAAGACGTATGATATGCACTTGGGACTCGGAGTACGCAGAAAGACGTCAACGTTGAAGTCCAGTTACAAATATTCGTGGCAGATGCCGCCAGCTGACAGTAAGACTGTCGTCACCTGTTCTTGCTTCTCAATTTGTGACTGCCCCGCAAGAACAATGTCATGAAACGCGCTCCCACACTTCGAAGTGCAACACTCGTCCCACACTACACCTGATACGCACGACCAAAGCTTCATCCTATAGGATCGTAACCTCGCTTCTACCAGCATCCGCGAGAATATATATATCAGCATTCACACACGTTACACACTACGTAATCGACATCTACACGCTATCGCAATCATGGAACAGGACCAGTTTGGCGGACGCACCGACGACGATCTGTTTTCTGACGACATCGAACCCGTCGACGAGACCGCTACTCTGTCCGCACCGGCGCCAGTTTCCACCAGCCATGTGCCCGCGCAGCCGGAACCAGCGCCAGCACCCGCCGCGCAACCACCAGCTGCCGCGCCGAAACCAGCGAGGTCGTCACTAGCACAATCTCGCCACAATCCCAACATCCAGCTGAGCAAATCTTCCCGTCAGGCCGCGAACAACAACAATGGCAGCCACCGCTCCAAACCCGCCAAATCTGAAACAAGCGACACGCCATCTGCGGCAGACCCCTCCTCCCCTCCAACAACTAACCCCAAACCACTCCCGACCGGTCCGCGCGAACCCTCCTCCACGCCCCACACCACCAACAACAACAACAATACCCCCGCAACCGCCACCACCAACACCAACAACACCGCCTCGGCTGTCTCGGCCGCCCGCCTCAACTCAGGCGCGAACCCGCGCCAGAAACTAACCGACGTCGAGCTCGCAGCGCGCATGGAAAAGATGCGGCTGCTCGCCGCCGAAAAGACGCGGCGGTTCGAGGAGGCGCAACGCGACGAGGCGCAGCATGCCGTCGCTTACGCCAAGGGCATGGAGGAGGCGCGCAAGCGGCGGGCGGAGGAGGCGGCTCGGCGCAAGATCGCGGAGGAGGAGAGGAGGAAACTGGAGGAAGAGCGGGCGCGGAACAGGGAGAGGAAGTTGAAGGCTTTGGAGGGCAGGGAGAGGGAGGGGAGGTGGGATTTGGGGAGGGATGTTGCTGAGTTGGATGGGGGGGAGCGGGAGAGGAGGGGGTTTAGAGGGGCTCATGGCGGGGTTAGGGGGGTCAGGGGGTTGGGGGGAAGTCGGTTTGCTGGAGGGGGTGGCGGTAATGGTGTGGATGAGGGTGGTGAGTATGATGGATTTGGGTTGAGGGGGAGGGGTGGTGGGTTCCGGGGCCGGGGTGGCAGGGGAAGGGGGAGGGGAGGTGGACGGCTGTTTGATGAGCGGGATGGGGAGTATGGTAGGGAACAAGGCAGGCCTAGCGGACCTGCGCCGGCACTACCTCCCCCAAAGACGGCCGATTTGAAGGCCGAAGACTTCCCTGCCCTGCCGTCGTCGACCGCTGCGCCAAAGAAGATTGACACGGCGTGGGTGGCGAAACCAGGTGCTGCTGAGATTCCCATCTCCCCGCCGGTGGGCAAGTGGGACGAGGAAGTGGCTGCTAGTCTCGCGGCCAACCAGACCTGAACATAGGAAATGTGGTGAAGGGCTGAGTAGTGCAGAGCAGTTGTAAAGGGAAGATGGAGCGCGAATATGGCAGTCGTACAGCATTGGAGCCGCAGGGAACATTTGGGGGGGCACCAAGTCTGTATCGTCTGGCGCCTTATGTCTGGTATCAGTGCTTTCGGCCGCGGCCGGCGTGGGATCCGCTTGCGGTGTGGTATGCGATGCATGGGCTAGGGGACTGTTTGAGTATGGGAAATGAAGGGTAGATTTTGGTATAACCTTTACTATTACAATCCAGCTCTCAAGCCTTTCCAACTCCACCGAAGACACCGTCTTCCCCCTCCCGGCCACGCCCTCGTCTTCACCCGGGCAGCCCCAGGCTTTCACTGGGCATGTGCCTAAATGAACCATCTCTGTGCATGTCTTTATCCGTCAAAGGGATGGAAGGTCCCGGCTTGTTCGACCCCTTCACTGTGCGAAAATTGTTACACAAACCGTTTCCGTCCACTTATCGCACCCATCCGAATCATGACACCCAGTCCATCCCCCCTCCCCGCTCCCCGCCGTCAAGGGCTGCAAACGACGATGAGCTGCGATTCAAAGAGATTTCCCACCCTGCGAGTGGGTGGAGGGTTACCGCCCAGGCGGCTACCATCCAATCCACCTTGGGGATACATATCACAGTAATCAATACAAAGTTAGCCGGAAGCTCGGCAATGGCGCCTACTCGACGGGCCGGCTGGCTGGCGACTCGAAGTGCGCCATCTTCTACCCAGCCTCTTCTCCTCGTACCCTGAGCTGACTCTCATGTACAGACAGAAAAGATATGTGGGTCTCAAAATTTCCATGTCAGTTGCTTCGGCATCAACAACCGAACTCGAGATTCTGCAGCATATCGCCCAAGCTGCTTCCACGGAGGTTTTTCACCTTGTCACGCAGCTGCTGGGACAATCAGAACACCAAGGCCCAAATGGCATCCGCAAGTACCTGGTATTCTAGCCCATGGGTGCCAGCGTGAATTCCATGGTTGAGGAGATGCCCAGTTCAAGCCTCGCAAGTGGGACATGTAGGCCCGCTATCCCCTTGGATGGCCAAATGCATCCTCAAGCAGTCACTGCAGGCTCTCGACTTTCTGCATGACAACGGTATCGCTCATGGGGACCTCCATCCGGAAAATATCCTCTTTGCCCTAAACGAAATCGACTCCAAGTCTAAGGGGCGCTCAGACAAGACGAAGACGTGGATCCTGGTCCTATCTCGGACCCTGTGGAAAAAGGCTAGACGCGAAGCAGGATAAGTGGGCTCCTTGCTACCTCTGTATTCCGCAGTCATTGGCCACATTTACCTCATCATGGCCAAGGTTTCAAGGTCAAGTTTTCCGACATGGCGGCGGTTAGTTCCAAGCTCCTGTTCTCTCTTCCTGATCCTACTCATTCCAATAATCCTACTCATTCCAAACTGTTGGCTCACACACATCTGCGGTTCACAGCATACTTCCTGATGAGTCCGCCAGCAAGGCCCGTTACACCTCTGGGCCTCCGAGCCCCGGAGCTAATCCTCTGCGGAACTGTCAGCAAAACGCTTTACATCTGGGCCTGGGGCTGCGTCGTCTCTGAGCTAGTCACCGGCGAACCACTCTTCTGCGTTCCCGGGGACGGTTTCGAAGACGACGAACATCTCCCGGGACTCATTGAGCAACTCAGCCCTTTGCCTGATGAGTCCTTCCAGAAGAGGGAGTCCTCTTCACTTTACTTCACGCCCGACGGGAGGCGTTTCAACTCCCTGCTCGACGGCGTTGCAGGGGGAGAAGAGCCGCTTGTCCTGGAGCAGGAGACGGTGGACGAGCGTTTGATTGGACAGGGCCGGAATTGGATGTGGAGGAGGCAGCAAGGTGAAATCACTGCTTCGACGGGTTTTGCAGTATGATTGAGAAGAGGCCTTCTGCTGCGGATCTTCTGCGGGATCTGGGGTTTGAGGAGACTGACGCTAGGGGTGGCTCATCCAAGTACCACACAGGAACTGGGGAATGATCTTCGTAGACACCCGCATACCTCTTGATGCCCAACTTCAACATCTTTCCAGATGATTCTTCTGCAACTCCTCCCGACCACACGACCGACATGGCGATGCTTGCCTCCCCCATTCAACCACCTCCATTCTCATCCGACAGAGCAACCCCCCACGGACAGCCGATCAATGTCTCCCAACTGCACCTTTGAGATCCTACAGCGGTGTGCAATAGACACATCTAAGAGCATAAAAGACGTCACAATTCAACGTGTTCGCTCCCTGTTGACCATATCCCAACCATGATATCTTGCCAGTAAACAAAACGCCAAACACCCTACCAATGCATAATTCACAGCCATCCACCTACTACCCCCTTCTCAGCCCGCGCTGCCGGAAGCGCCCACTCCTCCCCTGAGGCCCTTGCTTCATTTATGCCCGCATCTACGACCCAGCCCTCTCGGCACACCGCTTTACCATGCCCTTCTCGGTCCGCGCGGCCGGAAACCCCCGCTTCTCCCTCTCGGACCCTTACCCCATCCATCTCCAAACCCGCCGCCCGGCCCTGTCGGTACCCCACCCATGTCCTCATCGCCGGCCCCCATAGGCATCGGCCCCCTTGCCCGGCCCCGCATCTCCTTGGGGAACGCGTCGTACGCCTTGCGCATCTGCGCGAAGCCCAAGTGCATCTTGCCAAAGAAGTGGTCCGCCAACCGCCGGTCGTTATCTAGCCTGCTCAAGTACGCGCCGCACACGTCGCACACCTGCAGCTTCTGATGCCCGGACGGCCCCGACGTTTCGCTCAGCGCCTTCAGCTCCCGCTCGCGCTCCGCCTTGGCCGCCTGCGCGTGCCGCACCTTGTAGTACTCGTCGTAGGCCTTGGCGACCTCGCCCGTCTCGGCGAGAATCTCAACCTCGAGCAAGCCGTTGGCGATGGTTGAACCCAGGTCCGAGATGGCCTTGAGGAGGTTGTTGGTCTGCCGGACCTCGTCGGGTGTTTTCTCAAGGCGCCGCTGCAGCGTGTCGATGTTGCGGTTGCACGCCTCGATGCGGCTCTGCAGGTCGCGCATGTAGTCGTACTCGAAGCCGTACTTCTTCTTGTCGGCTTCCGGCAGCGCCTCGTACTCGGCTTTGAGCGCTTCTGAGTGCACCCGCGGGCAGGCGCCCAAGTCGGCTTTGGTGTTGGTGAAGAGGTCGTGCGGGCAGGTGCCGACGAGGTAGGAGCGACACACTTTGGGGTCAGTGAGCGGGAGTTGGGCGCTGCGCGAGGCCATGCCGCCGCCCATGAGCTGCTCTGCAGCGAGATTAGCATCACTCCGGGCTAATTAGCTGGGCGAGGAGGTACTGACCTAGCAGCTTCCTTTGCTCGGCCGCCATTATTTAAGTTTTGTTGTGTTATACTAATCAAAGCGATCGGATGTTGAACTGATGCTCTCACTGTTTGGGAGACTCGTGATGTGGCCGACAATGTATGAGAACCTGGGAATTTGTCGAAGATTGGAGTGGTGGAAGGAAATTGATCGATTGAACTTGTATTGTCAGCCGTGCTGCAAGGCTGCATGCAAAAGGGCGATGCTGCCGGAGGTGGGCCCATGCAGTGGGGCAAAAGGACCCCTGTCGGCCCAATCCCGGCTTTGGACCGCTGTCATCTCGAGTTTCCGCACTGCCAAGACATTGTCGTCTTCGTCCCGACACTCCTTTTGCTCCTGCCATTCCATGCGCCCATGGCCAGACCGCCGTGACGGAGAAAGATGGGTCAATTTTTGTCGTTCCTTTGGTTTGCGATTCTGTCCGTATCCTTTTTTCCCTCGTCAGCACTCGCCGCCGACTACTATGAGCGGCTGAATCTGCGGCCGCTGCCTCTGTCGGCGCTCCTGGCCAGCTTCAACTTCCGCTCCAATACGACCGTTTCCGAGTTCGAAAAGGGCAACTTCCGCTTCTTCCCGCGATCGCTCGGTCAGATCTTGCAACATGCCGGCACGCGCGAGTTGCATCTGAGGTTCAGCCTGGGGAGATGGGACGCCGAGAGCTGGGGTGCGAGACCATGGAATGGCGCGAGGGAGGGCGGCACGGGTGTCGAACTGTGGGCGTGGCTCGAGGCCGACACAGACGAGGAGTATGACAACCCTAGTAGCGAACGTACCCTTTTACTGACTACCTGCAGAGCCGACCACAAATGGCTGATCCTCACCAACGCCCTCTCGGGGCTCTTTTGCGCCTCACTCAACTTTATCGACGGCACCCGCACGACGCGACCCGTCATGTCCTTCCAGCCCCAAGGCGACCACTCGACCGTCACAAACATGCATCTGCTGTACGGAGTGCTGCCGCACGAGGTGGTTTGCACCGAGAACCTCACCCCCTTCTTGAAGCTTTTGCCGTGCAAGGGGAAGGCTGGCATCGCAAGTCTGTTGGATGGTCATAAGCTGTTTGACGCGTCGTGGCAGACCATGGCCATTGATGTACGGCCCATCTGCTCGCCTGGACAAGAATGCGTTCTCCAAATTGAGCAGACCATCGACATGGTTCTCGACATTGATCGGTCCAAGCGACCTAGGGGTATGAAACACCTGTCCCCGAGTCGGGTTGATCTGCTCACGATGATTCTAGACAACCCAATCCCTCGATCCCCGCCCGCTGACCAGCTACCTTGCGATACCTCGAAGCCATACCACTCCCACGACGCGTGCTTTCCTGCCGACCACACCGCAAATCAGGACTGGTCCCTCTCGCAGATCTTTGGGAAACCCATGAGGGGCACCTGCCCGCTGACCGACTCGTCCATCCCGCCAGTCTGCCTCCATGTCCCGGACTCCCGTGATGTCTTCGTCTCAGAAGGCGTGCACGAGAAAAAGAACTCCGACCAAGTCTGCCGGTGCTACGAGATACCCCCGTCCGCCGACTTCGAAATGGCCCTCCCCAAGCCCGATGACTCGGCCGACCCCACAACAACCGCCATCGTCAACCCAGAAACTCCTCTCCTCTACGCCGAGCGCAGCTTCACAGGCCACGGTCAAGAGCGCGGCGGCGTGCAAACCATTCTGCGCAACCCAAGCCCAGACACCGACGTTGAGTTCGTCTACATGGAAACGCTCCCCTGGTTCATGCGCATTTACCTGCACACCCTGGAAGCCCGCGTGGCGGGCGGTTCCCGCACGAACAACAGCACCACAAAGCTCATCCAGCAAGTCTACTACCGCCCCGCCGTCGACCGCGCCCGCGGCACGCAGCTCGAAGTGCGCATGCGCGTCCCGCCGGCCTCGACCGTGTTCCTCACCTACGATTTTGAGAAGTCCATCCTGCGATACACCGAGTACCCGCCGGACGCGAACCGCGGGTTCGATGTCGCCGCGGCGGTCATCACCGTCATCAACCCGCTTCAGCGCTCCAATACGGAAGAGGGAGAAGACGGGACTGCCGCTGGGGGAAGTGGCAGCAGTGGCAGGGTGGCAGCATATACCCTGCGGACGACGTCGCTGCTGTGCAGCCTGCCGACGCCCGATTTCAGTATGCCATATAACGTCATCATCTTCACGTCGACGGCCATTGCCTTGGCGTTTGGCGGAGTGTTTAATATCCTGGTTCGCCGGTTCGTTGCAGCTGATGAAGGGCCTGAGGCGGGGTTGGCGATTGTGCTGGAAAGGGTAAAGGGGAAGTTGGCGGGATTGGTCAAGAAGGGGGTGAGCATGTAATTATTGGTTGTCTGTGGCTGATGAGAATCCAGGTATGTGCCTCTGGACGTTCAACAATCGCGTCGTAGAGAGTATCACCATTGTCGCCTCCTATGCACGCCTCTGATGTGCAGCTGGCCTGGGTGCAGTGGAGGACCGGCTCTGCCTCCAATCCCCCGGGTGAAACGGCTTGGGCTGCCAGTCCCTTGACAAGTTATGCACACCGGCAAGCTGTTTGTAGAATCCTGGCCGTGTTCTGAGAGCTGCACCGCCGGTCAATCTCATCTGGGTTCACCAGATCGGTTGGGTAAGGTACATGTAAGGCTTGAAGGAAGTTCTTTAGCAGATCCAGGGCCAGACCCGGGTCGTTTGTAACGCTACTTTTGTTAACCTTTCTTTTTCTGGTTTGTTTTTGTCGGTTTTTTTTTTTTTGGTCGCTTCTTCGCTCAGCTTCTCCATATGAAACTGCAGCAGGTCGCCTTCTTCGTCCACTCTGCCACGTGGTCGTCCAATTCGTGACAGGACTGTCCGTATGACACAAGGGACTGGAAGTGGAGCTTGCGGCGGCTGGATTGAGCTGCCTCCAGCCCTGGTTTGTTCGTTAGCGTGGCACATGGCGGGCATTCGGTAGGTAATGTAGGTAGCATAAATGGGAAAATAAAATGAAGAAAACAACCTGGAATGAGGAAGATAAAAAGGACAATGTAGAAGCTAAAGACTAGAAGAGTAACAGAGCGAAGAGGAAGATAAGTGCGAAAATGAGAATAAACAGGAGGAAGAGGAAAAGAAAATGGAAGTGAAAGGATTCGAAATACCTAAGTTCCGTCGCTAACAAACTAGGGTTGAATTGTACCCGATCTGCCCTGAACTTGGAGGGCTTGTAAGCTCATCTTGTCTTATGGACGGAACGCATTCTCCTTCGCTCTGACACCGGACGGAAGCCTGCTCAGCGCTCTCACCGCAGGTCAAATTCACGGTCAATCTCGTACTTGCACCAAACGGTATCTGAACTCCCTCCTGCCCCTTGGCCCTTAGATGCAGCGCCTGAAGTTAGAGTGAGACGGACTTATATTGACAGACCTGGTTAACGGCCGGTAGCGCACTTATTAGTAAAGTGTGAAGAGGGCTTCGCCCCCTTCTACCATGGTGATGAAGCCTGAGCCTGGGCATCATCCCTGTGAGCTACGGCATTCCTAGTGAGCATGAAACGAGTTAAAGGCTGAGTTTTGGATTCCCTCGATACCTCACCAAGATCCCTACCCCCCATTGACGGACGTAATCTGCAACACTACATCCCCATAGCCCCTATTTGTCACAGTGCATGCCACGCCCGGGTTGATCTTGAAGATGCCCTGCGACCCAATGACAAACTCGTCCCTTCCCACATGCACCGCAAGCTTGCCGGTCGCAAGGGTACACACACGGGTCTTGGTCGCGTCTGCTGGGATCTGGTGAACACGGCCCGAGGGGATGCTGAGTGCCTGGAATTTGATGTTCGGCGAGACTTGCACTGTTTGATTGGCGGCGAGGTATGTGGACGAGAACGCTAGTGCTAAAAATGGGAGAAAGAACGTTAGTGAGTTGGAAAAACATGTGACAATGGTAAGTAGACGGGTCCGGGTAACATACGTTCACCGGCCGTGTTAGCCCGGCCATCGCCCATTTCCCAGTCCTCTAAGTGCAAGTCTCGTTCAACTGGACCGTTGCCTTTCAAGCTGGCAGCGCGGGGCTCCCTCAACTGCCGATCACTCTTAGTAGGATTGGGTACGCTGAAAGTGACCAACCGCGGCGGTCTAGCTCCAGGATCCAGAGAGGCCTCGTCAGCCGACTCTTCACTCCCTCCATCCGAGTCCACGTCCCCGTTTGGCAGGGACACCCGCGCTGAGCGCCGTCGTGCTAGGCCGGCCTCGGCCGATTCTCGCTCGTCACCCGAATCGTTCAACAACTCAGGCACGACCGAGTCATCTTGGCCCTTGAAAACTGGTTCTGACAACCCTGCACGAGCACCCGCATACGGCCTTTTGACGCTGCATCTACCCGCGTTCTTCCGGGCTATGCAGTTGGCGCAGGACCGGGCGGCCGAGCCCAGAAAAGGCAACAGCTGCCGCAAAAGCTCGGGGGGACCGCCGACGCAGCTGTCAAAGGGCCCGTCACGACGCCGGCACTCCGTGCAGGGGTTGGGGTTCTCCTCGCCCACGGCCTGCAGGATGAGGCTCGGCACAAGCCTGGTGTTGGCCTCGGCAGCGAGCAAGGGAGCAGACACAATGTTCAGGTCTCGCATCTTGGGGTAGCGGAGGAGGATCTTCGCTTCGGGGCTTTCCCGGTCGAGGGGTAACCAAGCAGCTCGCGAGGAGATGTGATCCCATAGTTGGCCACTTGAAGTCGAGGCGGCGGCAGAACTGTCGGGAGCCTCATTAAAGCCTGTTGATAATGCTCCTGTGGAGACTGGCTCGGTGATCTTCGGCCGGTCCGCCATGCGGGCGTCAGATGATTGTATGGGCGGACGAGGCGCGGGCGGTGGGGGCTCTTTGGGGTCCAAGGGATTCCTGGAGACCACGCGAGGGGCGTTCAGCTTATGCGGACTGTTGACGATTGAAAACGTCCCGTCACCATTATCGTTCAGGCTACAGGATTTATGGGTGGTCTAGAAAAAGACTCAGGTTAGTTGGTTGGGTTGTGTAAGCCGAAAGTCCATCCCGAACTCACCATGAAATGATATCCTAGGTTTTTCTTGAACTTGCAGGCTATCCGACAAGACCTGATGGGGCAGACCCAGGGGCGACCAGGGACACTGTCAGGATCCAGCTGATAACCTTCCGGAATCAACGCTCCCGCCATGCTCATCAACTCTCCATGCTCATCTAGCAGGGTTAGCATCAAACTGCGAGAGCATGGGCAGGAGATACATGTGCACTCACTCCACCATTCCCGGTATGGACGCCCATCGGCCGCGAATTCAAATCTAACGTCGGAGGCAACACTTGTTGCATGAGCGTCAACATTAGTCTTTGTCGTAGGAGCGTCAGATGGGGAATTCTTCCCGACTGCCTTGACCCAACGGATAGTTTTCGTGCCACGTCCGCCAGGATAATGCGGAATCGTAGGCTCGGCAATGGGTTCGGAATCCATCGGGTTCCGTGACACGACGACAGCCGGGTGGGTGCCGCTGTTGGCTCCAACGACGGAGAAGGTTCCGTCGAGGTTGTCGTTCAGCCGTGAGCCCCGATGATGACCCTGGCATGTCGTTAGCACACTTTGAATTCATCCGAGGGAAGAGCAGGGATGTGAGAGACTTGCCTTGAAGTGATTCCCAAAATCGACTGGTGCCTTAAACAACCGGCGACAGCTTCGGACTGGGCAGATCCAAGGCCGGCCCGGAATGGTTGTGTCGTGCTTGTATCCGTCTGGTAACAAGGCGCCGCGCATAGGAACCAGGGTGCCGTCATTTTCTGTTATGAACATTAGTAGAAAGGATAAGTAGGGGGCGAGACGCTCCTTCTTACCTCGCCACATGTTGTATGGTCGATCTGGGTCGGCCATATCACAGCGCCGGCTCCCACTTGTCTCGGAGGATGGTCCGTGAGGCTCATCACCATCACCATGACGACTACGTCGAACGTCAGGCTCCTCATTTGTGTCTGTAGAGTCGCTATCCTCGGAAACCGCGTTGCGCGAGGTTGATGAGCGGCGTTGCCCACCCCTCAGCGGAACCGTGGGTCGTTGTGATAACCTGGCCCCATTGTGAAGACTGCTCTCCACCATGGGTGCCTCTGTCAAGCTCATCGCTCTCTTTGACACGATCAGCGGGGGCTTAACGAAACCCCCGGAGTTCCTTCCATCGCCGACAGTTGGACTAGAGTACGTGCCCAAGTCGGTGAGGGTGCCATCCATGTTGTCGTTGAGGCGAGTCGCGCGATGGGAGTTCTAACAGTGTCGGCGTTAACGCTGATCAAGTACGTAATCAGAGAGTCGGCTTGAACTGACACAAAAATGCTTGCCTAAGCCCTCCAGAGTCGAGAGGGATTTCCGACACGACCTCACTGGGCAACGCCAGGGGAAGAACGGGTCCTCGGATTTCTGATAGCCCAACGGGAGGAGCGCACCAGCTGTGGAGACGAGCTTCCCAGAATCGTCTAAGAAACGAAATAGAATTAGCGTAAAAAGGTCAATATGTCGAGTCAAATACTGGCGACTATACCGGTCCAAGTCTTGTATGGCCGATCGTCCAGAGCCGAGTCAAACGCCAGCTTGATATCTGGAGGCATGATCGGTCGCATCATTTTGTCTCTGGCACTCGTCCACGAGTTGGCCGGGAAGGGTTTGAAAGCTGGCTGCGAGGTCTGAGTTATGGCGAGCGAGGTGAGCCGATATTGATAGATATACAACATGAATCGCATGCTCGACGTACCATGTTTTCGCCTTGATCAAAAATTGGTTTTACTTGCGTTTGCGAAAACTTGGCGACAGTCTCGTTTCCATCGGTGGGAGTCAGGATTCCCGAATCGACCGCCTTTTCGGGTGTCGGTTCCTGTGATATTTCGGAGTACGGCGCTTGCTCAGAGGCAGAAGCCGGGCTAGCATCCAGGCCTCTCGTTGGGCTCGGTGCCGAGGACGGGACGGAAGGAGAGAGTGTGTCGAGCTTGCCAATGCTGCTATCTGTGACCGCTCGCGGCTGAGGAACGAATGGTGAAAGAGGCCCGGCCCAGAGCGGACACGCCCCACTGTGACCGGTTCTTCTCATCTTGAAGACCGGACGAGAACGGCGGTCCCCCGGCATGGCCGAGTTGGAAGCACTCTCCTGGTTGGGACCCACATTATCATTCGTTGCTTCAAGGGGACGTTTCTGCCCTGTCGGGGGACTGGGCTGTGTGATTGCAGAAGCAGTTGATGTGATGGTAGCCCCAGCCATTGCAGAAATTGAATCACTCTCGCGGCAAGCTAGACAGACGTTGGAACTGCGAAGTATGCAGCCCAGCACAGATTGGGGAACGCGATACCTTCGACGACAACGCGAGGGACGCCAGTGATCAATTTGTCGTGGGTCCAAAATTGGTCCCACCGTTTCCGACTTGCTGAGAACAGTGGGGCAGTATATAAAGTGGGGCACCTCACCGTTTAATTACCTCGAGTCCATCCAGCTTTGGATGCTGCAAAGGCACCCACTTTGATTGTTTCTAATAATTTACGGGGTTTCCTACGGTAAAATGAAGCTTGTCGTTTCCGTCTCTGATTTGCCCGAGGGTTGAGACCGATTTCCGCGTCTGTGGCTTGCAGGTACCGAGAGCTTGCTTTACATGTGGAAACCCTAACCCTCGACCAATCTTACGGTGCAGAACAAGTCGTGCTGCACAACTCCAGACTTGTTTGTGATGCCTCAGATGCATATTTCTCCAATTCCTTGACATGCACCCGTCGCACAAACGGATCTTCTTAGACCCGGATAAACTTCTTACCTTGACGTTACGAACTCTAATAGCTTTGAACCCAACAGAGCACCACCAGCCAGCGGCCTTTTCCCAAACTCGTCCCGATTTACTCGGCTACGAGAGTGAACGACACAGCCTTGCGAATATGGAAGACGCACAGCGACAATCTCAAATAGTTCATGCACCTTCCCGTCCAGCCATCGTGGGCAAGGTATCTATCTTTCTCGCGGGCACCACCACTAAGACCTCGGGATCAGACTGGCGCGAGGCCTTGACGGAAGTCCTCGGCCACCTTCCCATCACCATCTTCAACCCGCTCCGTCCGGACTGGGACAGCACATGGCTCGAGGATGTAACATTCGCCCCGTTCCGCAAGCAGGTTGAGTGGGAACTGGACATGCAAGAGCAGGCGGACGTCGTCATCGTGTACTTTGGGCCAGGGACAGATGCGCCCATCAGTTTGCTGGAATTCGGGCTCTGTGCGCGTGCGCGCAAGGCACTTGTTGTGTGCAATGGAGAGTACAGGAGAAGAGGCAACGTGCAAATTGTGTGTCAGCGGCTTGCGATCGAGTATCTGGATGCTGAGGATGACTGGACGGCGGCTGTCATTCGCAGGGTCGAGGGTCTGCTGGGACAGATGGCCCAGAGTGGGTATTGAGCGGGAGGGAGCGGCGGGAACGCATTGGGAGAGAGCTGCAAATCGAGCTGATGAATCAACTTCAACCCGCCAGCCCCAACCACAGCACTTTTCAGCCGAGGCAGGTGGTTGCCACGCGACGTCCGCGACTCGACCCCAAATTATACCATCCGTGGCGGTTGACTGGGAGTTGCGACGCCTCCTCAGGTCGTCATCTCGAGTATGTCATGCCGTCGCTTGTCTTCCTTCCCGGTCAAATGGGTATCGGAGCGGATAACGTCTTGTGTGTTCGCGTTGTCATCGTGCTTTGTTGGCTCATCGAATCGGAGCCCCGACCGAACGATCTGCGCGCGACCGTTCGAGATGCCTTGATCGTGGGAAATGCCATGCAACATGCCGTCTCTCCGCCATACTCATCCGGTCGCGAACACTGGGGGTAGTCTCTACGTCGAGGCGGCGGGGTCGGACAGCAGCGCCAGATTCATGTGTGGGGAGGTCAGCGTCCGCTTGCGACGGGGTTGAAGAATCATGGCTTTTTCCCCGACGTTCTCGAGGTCAATGTGGCCCGTGCATCCCGTCCCTTGATGCAGCTCAGTGGGGAACATCGAAGTGCCCCGCCCCCCCCAGATTCGGGATCCGGAAACCAACCATAGAATTTTGACTCATCTCAAACATGCCAGGCTGGACCTTTCTATAGGCCGCCCTAGACACTTGCCCGACCCCTGCCGACAGCTGAATGCGCTCTCTCACTAGGATTCCGACCTTGCTCCCTTCGTTGAGATCCCTTTCCACTTCGCTCCGGTTCTCGCGGGCATTTTCAATGGCTCCTATCACGGTTCACAATTCTTTGAAGCCCGGCCCGCCGGTGCCCTTCGTGCCCAGGGCGGAGGGCAAGGTCTCGTGGTATGCTTGCGGGCCGACAACCTACGATCTGAGCCATCTTGGCCATGCCCGCAACTACGTCTCGACCGACATCATCCGCCGCATCTTGATGCACCACTTTGGCTTCAAGGTCAACTTTGTGGTGAATTACCTTCTTCGGCCTGTTTGAAACGGCAGAGCATTGACATCACTGCAGATGAACTACACCGATGTGGATGACAAGGTTGGTCTGAGCCACACGCCATTACCCCTTCTGGCGGTCTGACTTTTCCGCAGATCATCATCAAAGCTAGGAGAAAGCGGCTCCTGGAGCTCGAGAAGGAAAAGCCCTACACCCCAGATCAAATACGGGACCTTGTGTTCAAGGCCTTCCGGGCTTATGCCGGGAGCAACCTGCCGCTGTTGGCTGCTGAAGGGCAGCCGGCTGTCGACGAGCACAACTACCTTGAGCGCAGAGATGCTGCCTATGGCGCCGTGCTTGCCGGCGGCACGCTCTCGGGTGAAGGCAAACCCGGCGATGCCGAGGCGAAGTTGAAGATGCACCTCAGCAACATGGATTCGGCGGCGAAGGCCTTGAGGGATGGGTCTGGGTTTGATGGCGCCGAGGAGGTCCTTCTTCCATTCCTAGACTCCCTGTACAAGGAGACGATCGACACCAGCGACCAGACCATATTCACAGACCTCACACAAGCGATGGAGAAGGCGTTCAACGACGACATGACGGCTTTGAATGTCTTGCCGCCGGATGCGGTGACACGAGTCACAGAATACGTCCCGCAGATTGTGGCTTTCGTCGAGCAGATCATCACCAAGGGGTTCGCGTACGAGGCCAACGGCTCGGTGTATTTCGATATCGCAGCGTTCGAGAAGGCGGGCAATACCTATGCCAGGCTACGGCCCGAGAGCAAGAACGACAAGGCTTTGCAGGAGGAAGGAGAAGGCTCGCTGTCTAAGAGCTTGGAAGGGAAGAAGCGGTCCGGCGATTTTGCCCTGTGTGTCTGCCCTCCAAGCAATGACCTGATGATTCGGCACTGACAAGCGACTGCTGTAGGTGGAAGAAGTCAAAGCCCGGTGAACCGTACTGGCCCAGCCCCTGGGGCGCAGGTCGCCCTGGCTGGCATATTGAATGCTCTGTCATGGCCTCGGACAAGCTTGGGGAGCAGATGGACATCCATTCTGGTGGCATCGACCTGGCGTTCCCCCATCACGACAATGAGCTGGCACAGAGTGAAGCGTACTTTCATCAGTGCGGCAAGGGCGAGCACACTTGGGTCAACTACTTCTTGGTACTTCCACCTCCCAGCATCGAATTCGCTGGTCATGCTAACGAGTCTCGCAGCACATGGGCCACCTTTCCATCGCAGGCAGCAAGATGTCCAAGAGTCTGAAGAACTTCCAGACAATTCAAGACGCCCTTTCCACAACCTACACGGCCCGTAACATGCGGATTGTCTTCTTGATGGGCCGGTGGAACGATGGTGTTGAGATCTCGCCAGATATGCGCAAGCAAGCGGACAACTGGGAGAGCACAGTTGACGTGGGTCTCCGTGACACAAGCTGCCTGAACGTGGCTGACAGGAACAGAACTTTTTCACAAACATCAAGGCCAAGTTGGCAGAGGCTGGGTTGACAACCGCCGGGGTCAAGGATCTGTCGCTGGAGGAGGGCACTGGCAAGAGACTGGTCGACGAACTCGAACAGGCCAAGCAGGACCTTGATGCGGCGCTCCGTAACTCCTTCGACACCCCTGGGGCCATGCAGGTCATTCTGAGGCTAGTCAGGAACGCGAACATCTACATGAACGACAAGTCTGCCGAGCCCAATCTACAGGCGCTGGAGGCGGTCGCACGGTGGGTCACCAAGATCGTGGGCATTTTGGGCCTTGACGCCGGCGCGCAGCCGCCATACGATGGCCTTGGGTGGACGTCTGCCGGTGCGGCTGCCGCTGCTAACCTCGACCCCAAAACGGCGGTGCAGCCATACGCGGCAGCACACGCCAAGATCAAGGGGGATGTGCAGGCCTTGAACCTAGCCGAGTCTTCGATCCAGACCCTGCTCGTCCAGCAGAACCCCGAAGGCGAATTCGCCGAGCTGGAACAGAGTGGAGAGCGTGACGTGGAGAAGCTGGCCATGCCGTTCCTCCGCGCCGCCTCCCGCCTGCGTGATGAGCTGCGTGCGATCGTTTCGATCCTTGAGCCCAATGCTAAGGAAGCGGTGCTGTCGCTGAGCGACCGGATCCGCGACTACGACCTGACCGACATCGGTGTGCAACTTGATGACCAAGCCGACAAGCCCAGCTTGATCAAGTTTGTGCCAGCCGCGAAGCTCATTGCTGCGCGCGAGGAAAAAGCCGCGCTGTTGGCTGAGAAGGCGAGGCAGAAAGAAGAGGGTAAGTGGCCTTTTTCTCGTGATACAACATCAAATCATTTCTGACGAACCTCGGAATAGCGCGCAAGGCTCGAGAGAAAGCCGAGGCGGAGAAATGGACCAAGGCGAAGATGTCTCCGCTGGACATGTTCAAGGGGGACGCAAAGTACCAGGAGTGGGATGCCGAGGGCCTGCCGACCAAGCTGGTCGACGGTAGTGAGGTGCCTAAGAGCCAGGTTAAGAAGCTGCGCAAGGAGTGGGAAAGGCAGAAGAAGCTGCATGAGGAGTATCTCATTAAGTTTGGGAAAGCTTAAGAGGAGGATAGTGCCAGATTTGAGTCATTCCGACAAGCGATTTCAGCCCTTCCGTTGTCGCCTGCGTCCGTCCTCGGTGTTCCCGGCGAAATTTGGCTGGGTTAGGGTGTCGGTTTGGTGAAGATGCCTACTGTGTGAGACGATTACGATGACAACTCGAACAAGCAGAGATGAAGAGCAAAGCTGGTCATCATCCTACTCGCTCTCTCCAGGCACCAGGATATAGTTCCCGGCTTTCTGCAGCTCGCCGCACGCTAATGCAGGGCAGGGTAGCTCTGGGGCGCCGTTGGATCGTCTTTGGCGGGGCTTTAATCAGGCAGCGTAAACGTTAGCTATCACCGGGGAGAAATACAGTGGTCCAGAGCGGCGTGTTCTCAACATCAAGAAAACCAGAATGCTTGTCACACTCAGGAGCAAGGTTCTGGCAAGAGGTTTCTACATGATTCCAGCTCTGAACCGAGTCTAAATGGCGAATTTGTGCCTCGGGGGAGCATCACAGCCACGAAGAGAGGGTTACAGCGTAGGCTGATGTTGGCGCCGCACACCAACATCGACAAGGATCATAACCACATCTCGCCTCTTTCCCCCTGGTCCCCCACGACTGGAACCCCTGCCAGCTGCGCTTGCGACGGCCTGTTGTGAGTTAATACTGCGCTTGTCCATCCGATATTCCCCTTCTTCTTTTGATGGTTTTACTGAACTCAGTTTCTCACTTCCGGTGCTCTATCATCGATCGCAGACTCCCAATTACACCAAGTGGGCGCCGCGGCAACACCGCCATCGCGACGCGTCACCGAATTCAGTTTGGCCAGTTGGCATTCGAAATGGCCAGGAAACCCAAAAAGTCACCGCCGCGGGTCTACCACGACGGCCTAATCCCGACCACAACCGACACCTACCAAAGCTACCCCGAAGTGGTCCCCGACGACCACGACCAGGTCAAGCACGAGAAAAGCTACCCGGAACTTGCACAACCACCCGAACCACGCGCATCATCACCGCCCACCTCCTCCGTCACCACCGCCAACACCCCTCCCATCGCGCTTCACGGCGCACGGGCGCAACACCACCACCACCACCAACAACAACAACCCAGCGATCCATCCCCTCTCGCGGCGCCGCCGCCGCCTCCGCTAATACACCCGTTACCGGTTCTCCCGCGCACGTCGGGTGTGCACTCCCTGCGCCAGGCCTGGAGCGAGGTGGACGAGTCCGAGGACGGTGTTGCCGGTGCGCGTGGGGGGTCCCGTCTGCCGCTTTGGAAAAGGCCTGTCTTTTGGGTCGCGGCCGTCGCGTTGGTGGTTGTTGCTGTCCTGGCAGGGGTTCTGGGCGCGGTTGTGTCAGGGAGGATTATAAGTCAGGTTTCTTCGAGGTTAGTTACTACTTACTGCAGACACATGATTCTCATCTCTTTCTTATGTGCCACACCGTTGTGTTTGTTCGTGGGACACGGTGGGTTGGGCTGCTATAGGCAAGGAACTGAGGGGACATGAAGGCATGGGAAGATCCAGGTTGAAGTTAAATGGACACACCAGTTGACCGCCAATCTCACCTCCAGTGACTCAAACTCGCAGCAACGGAGCCCATCGTCTGTGACGGACCCGAGCTGCCCGGGAGCCAACAACCTCAACTACACCAGCGTTGGCTCCACGCCGCGAAAAACCTTCCGAATACAGTGCGGCGCGAACTATCCCAACGGAGATGGCGCGCTGGGGTTACTGAATGACACCGACGTACACCACCTGGCGACCTGTTTGGATGCGTGTGCTCGGCACGCCGAGTGCGTCGGTGCCGTGTTTGTGCCGGGGACGACGACGGCTGGGCAGTGCTGGCTGAAGGAGTTTATTGGGGCTGTCAGGACGGGAGGGGATGTCGAGGGGATGGTGAGTGGCGTTTTGTGGCAGTAGCCTGGCCGCCAGAACTACATTAATCGAAGCGGGTTCTTGCAGTCTGGTGAAAATGGAACTGCCGTGCGTTAATTAGGTAGTCATGTACTCAAGTCAAGAAGACTCGGGCTGGTCTTGGAGTCTGTGAGCAATGGCATGGCTAATCGCTCAGGCCAGCCAACCCTGGAACTCCATCTCCTCGGCTGCAATCACCCTCGATCGGTGGAAGTATGGCACAGGTTACCCAGTCCATGTGGTTTCAGCGACACGCCGGTTTGGGAGGCGACACGCCGGTTTGGGAGACCACTCGTTAGTCGGACGGCATCAGCAGAGAAGCGGAAAACCAGCAGAGATAGGATACTGTATCAATAAGGCAGCTGGACAACATCAATACAGGGCTTTGCTCCGCTGGTCGTAGTAGCCAGGATACCTTAGCACGGAATGTACTGTACAAGTCGCCTTTCTGTTTATCGGTACAGCAGTCATCCTTCAGCTCAAGTTGGGCCTCCCAATTCCCTAACGTTAATTATTATTATTCCTACACCGATGTGCCCTAGGGCGTGCCGGACCTTCAACAACTTACTATACAGGAAAACCGCGCCCTCGTGGGCCGGGTG